TATGCATTTAAAAAAAATCATACAATAAGCTTAAATATTAACTCTTCTAACTTTTTTTGTTACAAAATCGTTCAAGACATCCTGAAAGTTAACCTTTTCCAATACATCATTTTCAATTGCCATTATGGCCAATGAATTTAAACGGTTTTGAGACATAGTTGAACGAAGACAGTTTTTAATTAATTTCAATTTGGAAAAGTTTCGTTTTTCAAGCATGTTGTGTTAAAAAAAGCTGCTCTTACTGTATAGTCATCTGATTAGTCGGCGTTAAAATTACCGCGATAAAATTGCTTGCGATTATATTACTGCGTTATATATGAACTAACTACCATAATATTAATATCTAATTTGGAATGCGTTCAGAAATGTACTAAAATAGCGTCGATGTAATGTACAGAGCAAGACAATCGTCATTGAAATTTCGAATTAAATTTTTACTGTTTAAGAAACATTGTCAATTTTTTTCTCTGTAGCACAGGGCCCCTGAACGTGGCGGGGCCCCTAGGCAGTTGCCTACAGTGCCTAATGGATAAAACGGCCCTGCTTCAACACCATATTTCAAGAGAACTTATCGGCACAACAGTTAAATAAAATCCAGTTACTTCCTTCGTTTGATCAATGCTGTCCATAGTACTAGGATTGTAATGAATATAGTGATTTGGTGAATGTCGAACATCAACATTTTTCAAAAAAAAAAAAAAATCATAAATATAAACATTTTTTATTTGTAGATTTAGTCATTATTAAAAAATAATTAAACTTAGCTTTATTGGTAAGTTTAGAAACTCAATATTCTTGTTATATTTGTAGTACAGTACAATATCCTGAGTCCTAGACTAGTTCGAAAAATAGAATGTCAAACAAACTTCAAAACTAATTTCATTCAATAAAAAATACCTCTAATATTTAAGTCAGCACTGTTTAATTTTTTATTTAATCAACTTAATATTCATTAGGGTGGGTAAATCATAAAAAATAAAGCAAAAAATATATAAACATTCAATTAACTAAAAAAGAAGCTTGAAGGTAAAAATTCAGTGATTGATAACCTATAACCTTACGCCAATTATAGCAATCTAGCGAGAAAAACTATTTTTGACTCTGATGACCGTGCAGTATTATGCAAGATTCATTTAGGAGACAAACAATGCGTGTTAAATAATTAGTCACCATACAAAAACGAAACAGAAAAAATAAAGATCTAATTTTAAATATCTTAGTTCTCCAATTACGGAATTTTCAAGAAAAAGTGAAGAGAAATGAAATAAGTCGGATAGAAACTATCTTAAAAATTGCCGCGTCATAAGGAAAACTTCGATAAAATAAAGATTAGTAAAAATAAAAAGGAAAAAGAAATCGTTCTATACTTTTAAAAGAAAATGTTAACGTTGAAAATAGTAATTTAACATTTTATTTTTAATCATTGTTGAACAGCCTACAGAATCTTGAGTTAACGACTACCAATGCTCAACTCCGTAGCCTTGTAATTTTAAACCCAATCCAGAAGACAAAGTAACTCCTGTATCAAGTATATGGGAGAATTTTGCCTCCGTGGATAAATTTTGATGCAACCTACCCGCATATGCGTTACATGCTGAGGAAAACTCTGAAAACCTCCCACGGTTATCCTGACAGCAAAAGGAATCTAACCCATTATCCGTCTACCACTGAGGATATTTTATTTCAGCTCTGTGGTTGGGTACGGGATTCGAATCAAGCAGCCATCGCTGAGACTCGAACCCGGTTCACCTCATTTCGAGGCAAGCGTTTTATCCACAGTTCAACTTCTTAACTTTTTATTTTACAACCGTCGTTGAACAGCCGACCCAATTTTGGGTTTACGACTACTAATGTTCAACTACGTATCCTTGTATTTTGAATCCTATCCAGAAGACAAGGGGTCCTGGATCAACTATTGGGAGAAATTTGCCTTCGTGGAGGACTGCCGTATTTTTAGAAAGAAGTGTAGATAAAAGAATAAAGTTTATTAGAAACGCTTTTAAAAATTTCATAATATATACGCCGATAAAAAGCAAGGTCAATAATGAAAGCAGAAAAACAGAAAAAAAGTGTTCTAGATTCTTAGAACAAAACTTTAATGTTGGAAATCACAATTTTTTTTTTTTATCGAACCGGTTATCTAAATTACCGTAGACGAAAAAAAGTGGCGATAAGAGAACAAAGTGTATCAGAAACGTTCCATTAAAATACCGCGCTATAATAATAATAATAAAAATAAAAAAAAATAAGAAAAAAAGCGAAACGAATTTGAAATGTTCTCAATTCTTGAAAGAAAAAGCGTAAAAAGAAACGACAAAATTGACTTGTTTGAATAAAATAAAAAAATAAAAACCTCACCATGAAAATTTTTTCTAGTCTAACCTAGTTTCAATTCTCAAATTTATCCTTTCCATTTGAATGTCACCACAAATTTCTTCTTCCAAATCATAAATTTGAAAGCACATAAATTTTAGAATTTAACAAAAATGTGTAAAAACTATTTCCAGGGGTCTGTTCAGACATTTTGTGAAAGGTCCGTTTTTCGTGAAATTGTGAAAAAATTACTCTCATTCTTTCAACTGGGGTCCGCTTTTATGAATTTGTGCTAATAGGGTCCAGTTATTGCAAAAAACTTTTTCAAGGAGTTTTAAAATTGTAAATACATACAAGATTATGCTCGGCANATAGAAAAACAATACTTTTATGACTTTTATTATTTTTATGCTAGTGAGAACCAAAACAATACGGAAATGAATGAGGGAAAACTGGATCCCAAGACGTGATTTTCCCGGCCAATAAAAATGTAGCGTTAAACGTTTAACGCAACCTTGTTGGAAGTCGCATAAGAAGTATAACTTCAAAAATGATTTAGTCTAACCGAGTTTCAATTCTACAAATTTCTCCTTTCCATTTGAAAATTCACCACAAATTTCTTCTTCCAAAACATAAATTTGAAAGCACATAAATTTTAGAACTTAACAAATATGTGTAAAAACTATTTCTAATAATGTGTAGTTAAAAACGCTAAAATTAAGTCTATTAAAATATCAACAACATTTATCCAATTTAATCACAATAGTTGTATCACATCGGAGCAATATACTGTCAACAACCTCCTTCATAATAACTGATAAAGTTTTGTAAAAATTCGATTGGGTTTGAAATGTTCTTCAGTTCACTACCACTTGAAAAAAATATTTTGGACATACATCAAATGTCGGATTACTGTTTTCTTTTGTACGGAGTCGCTTACAATTACTGTTTTTCAAATTTTGGAGTGTAAATAGTTGTATCACAATTGTTGAAAATTAGTCATTACTGTATAAATTTATTATTAATATTTTACAATACATTTTCTAAGAAATGTTCGAAGATTATATTCTTGGCTGTTAACTTTCAGATAAATATGACCTTTAGGCACCTTAGTGACTTTCTTCCTTTTTTTAGTTTGAGTCACACTTGGTTTATAACATCGTTTGATTTCCTTACAATCGTGCATACTGACGTATAGACATATTAGCTCAGTATAGACGTATACAAACGTCCATCTTTTAAGCATTTTTATTGTTTCTCTCAAAACGAATGAGAAATGGAATAACATTTTAAAAGGATGCAAAGTTATTGATTTTTAGCCCCATTAAATTTTCTTCAACTCTAGCATACTTTCCTGAGCAATTAAAATGTTAATATTTTCCCCCCAATTTGGCGGAGAATCTTGTCTGCATCAGTTCTGATTAGATTTTTGAGGAGCATTCTACAATCCACATATAATGAGGAACATTTTTTGCTTCACATATACAAATACTTGAGTTGCGCTGGCTCAGGGGATAGAGCGTTCGCCTTCCAATGAGGTAAACCGGATTCGAATCCGCACCCGGCTTGCTCCAACCACAGTGCTGACGTGAAATATGCTCAGTGGTAGACGGATCATGGGTTTGTCCGTTTGCTGTCAGGCTAACCGTGGGAGGTCGTCGTTCCCTCTCCATGTAACGCAAATGCGGGTTAGTTCCATCAAAAAGTCTTCCACGAAGGCAAAATTTCTCCCAATACTTGATATAGGAGTTCCCTTGTCTTCTGGATTGGGTTCAAAATTACGAGGCTACGGAGTTGAGCATTAGTAGTCATCAACCCAAAAGTTGGGTCGACTGTTCAACGACGGTTATAAAATATAAAATATGTATACAAATACTTGGTCTTGCCTGATTCGGATGTAGGGATTTTAAATTTGAAATTAATTTTGATCTTAAAGCTATATATTCTTTTAAGTGAAATTTTTAGTAAATTTTTTATTTGACGAAACTAAATGTTCAAGTTTAAAAACGTTAAGTATAATAGGGGTGGCATAAATGTTTTGACAAACTTTCAAGGGAGTTAGGGTCCATCATTGGGATAATAATCGCATAGAATCCCATGCCCAGAAATATTGTAAACAACTGAAGGATCTTCCCCATTTATGATCTATTTAGTAGTACATGAAGAAACTGTTCATGTTAGGGAAGCATATATATTAGCCGCATAAGACGACATTTTGAGTATGGGTTCTTATGCAATTTTAATTCTGATGGTATGCCCTAACTCCCTTAGAACTTTGTCGCTACATTTACACGACTCCCTGTTATCTATAACGTTTTTAAAATTGTACATTTTGACAAATATTGACTAAAAATGTCATTTTAAACTGAAACTGCTACTTAAAGAGAGAAATCAAATAAGATTTGAAATCAGCAATACGGAAGTATCTAAGATTTGCTAAAAATCTCATGCAACAGAACCCCCCCCCCCAGTGTAAGCTGTAATATTAATTCATAATGTTCAGTATAATTTTTACAGTAGCTTATACGCTTATGTATTGCTTTTTGATTCTCTGAAAACTCTGATGTCACAAATATGGCGGACAACATCAACACATTGCAGTGATAGTCTTTTATTTCACATAGTTTTATTATTTATAGATTTAAAATTTCTTTTTTTCTCGTATAAATTAACTCTTTTTTTTCCAGATCTTTATTAACAATGAGTGGCACAATTCTGCAAGCGGAAAGAAATTCCCGGTAATCAATCCCACAAATGCTGAAACAATAGTCGAAGTCCAGGAAGGAGACCAGGTAAAGCAATATTTTCACTCTTCCTAAAGTATTGATCAGTTGATTACACAGATGCATTTGTCGATTTTCTTTAAAGACCCTCATTATAAAATGCAAGAATTTGATTTCCGATCTTTGAATGTAGTAAGAACGTATTAAAAATTTTTAATAGCATACATTGTAAATTTAAAATATGCATGCCAGCATTTCTAAAGAGCAAGTTTAAATTATAATTCAAATTTAAAGAACAAATTAAGCGTTGAAAAAGAGTAAGACAGTTTGAAAACACTTCTGCTCTTAAATTAGTGACGGAACGAATCTAGAAATTGAATGAACTTCGAAACAACTGATGGATTGATTTCAAATCATTCCCTTTAGTAAAATATATTATGTAAGGTCAGTGTGCCGAAATGCGACAATGTTCAGTTACGTTAAATCCTAATTCGTGAATCATCTGTATTCTATTCTATGAATATCTGTATCATCTAATTCGTGAATCATTGTATGAAAATTTCGTATCTCTGGAGCCTATCCCATTTCTTTTCCATACATTTAAAACCTTATTTAACGTGCAATTTCATCTTATCTTCATGCTCCCCCAACATGTCCTAAATGCGATGTATTCCGAACTTGCTAGCCATCTAGATCAGAGTTTTAATTGGATATTAAGCTTAGTTTAAAATGGTCAGAATTTTGATAGACGATAAACTCAATTTTGAGACAAAATGGCGATAAACATTTCTTGTAATTCATCATGAAACGATTTAAACTCATATTGTCTTCGGGCATAGAGCATTCTAGCTAGTCGGAGAGTATTTGAAAATTAGATAGTAAGATTTCATTTTTATGGACACAAAAGCAAATGAGTAAAAACGTTGTAAAAATGCACTGTTGCAACATACCTTGAGGGTCGCATTTAAAGGCTGGTTACCTTAAAAACGATAAAAATGCAACATCTTTGCTTAAGTTGCAGATAATAATTAAATTTCAGCAAGAAAAACTTTGTTTAGAACTATTATCGTAATATTTTAGCTATTTTCGGTGAAGAATTTTTAAAAAAAGGTAAAATTTGACCTAAATGCGACAAACTTTTATGAAATCGGGTGGCATTTAAGTGCACTGACCCTATGTTTAGGTTAGTAATAAATCTGGCTAATAATACTACTAACTGGTAAGATTATTAATATTAACTGATAAATTACATTGATCGTATCATATATGCCTTGTATTATTGGATGATTTCAAAAAATCTTTTAAAACACAAATCCCTTTATTCCAAATAGGCTGATGTGGAAAAAGCAGTGCAAGCTGCAAAGGCTGCTTTTAAGAATGGCTCTGTTTGGCGCACAATGGATGCTTACGATAGAGGACGACTCCTTTACAAGTTGTCTGACCTCATGGAGAGAGACATTGAATACTTGGCGGTATGTATTCTTCTTCTTTTGATACCAAATAAACTAAACATCATAAATCAAGGAAAAATTATACTCCCCCAAAAATTAGCCAATCCCTATGAAATTTGAATATGTTGTCAAATAAGAGTTACTGAGTAAAACTGCAATATACAACTGCGAATTTCGCTGTGTTTCTGAAATTAGAAACTTGAGGTAGTAAATTTGTAAAAATGATCTCCAGACATTATTTGCAAAAAGAGAACAGCGCCATGGAGATCTACTGGCAGACTTGTCTCAGAACAAAAACGGATAGAAGTGCCCAGATATCTAAATGTGAGTCCTTGCTGAGATCGGCTGAGATTAAGCATTTTATTTTTGAATAATCTAATACAACAAGGAATCTGGAAGATTTGATTTCAAAACCAGCTTGATTCGTAGCTTAGCAGGATTAAAAGAAATATTGCTGCTCTTTAAATTAAATTTTCATTTGTAAACTATGCAGCAGTGTTCCCGAAATTTTTTTTTTCGAACTCAAGATATTAAGAAAAGATCTGTAAACTCGTGTAACCGTTAGTAACATATGAAAAAAAATTAAATTTTTATTTTGCAACATTAGCAAAATATAATCCAAAACATCCAAATATAAACATTTATAAAATAAAAACGGATAGCTGCAAAAAATGAATAAATCCATAAGTCCTACAAGAAACAATTTGGTGCTCAGTTGAATACGTTTGATTCTTGAGAACTGTTAATATATTTTTGTAGCTACGAGTAATTGATGAAGCAAAATTAAAAATTTGGATCAATGTTTGACTGTTTCTGTCGTGGATGAAATTCCGCTTTTAATCTATAATAAAATGAATAGTTTTTTTTTAAACAAATCAGTATACTCATTTGTAATACTGAACCTGATGTCAATAAGCGATTTTTTAAAATTGCTTTGGATGTAGTGAAAGTTGCAATATAGTTGGTCTGCTTTAGATTCAGTTTTAAGAATTTCATTCAAGCCAATTTGTAAAACCTTTATGAGTCGATACAAAATAAATAAATTTTGAAGCTTAAATGAAAATGATCAATAGCTATTTTGAAGGAAAAAAAATAGATGTAACTGATCGTTATGGGTGTGTGCACAGATGGCTTAAAACCATAAAGCGAAATATTTTATGTCTCATATTAAGATCATCGAAAAAGTGTAGTAAACGCAATGTAATATTCAGAGATACAATACAATATTTACCTACTTAGCTGACATTTCATAAATTTGTTCCAATATCTATCATTTACAGGCGTAGGTATTTACAGTGTGTCTAGCTAGACGATAGAATTGGAAAGCTTTAATTGTGTATCCAGTCTCTGAAAATCAATAAGCATAAATGTTTTATTTCCATGATCAACTTTAAATTAAAGAAATTTAACTTGATGAAAATATCAAATTGTATTGATATGAGAAATTTAAAATTTCCACTAATTTTTAAATACCAGCATGAATTAGGGTGGTACTCTTTTTCCTTATACAAGTATTAATTTGAGCATTCTTTTTCTAATACAACATTAATTTGGGTACTCTTTTCCTAATACAAGCATTAACTTGGGTACCTACTTTACTCCTAATACAAATATTAGTTAGAGTATTCTTTTAATTATGCATGCATTAATTAGGTTACTCTTTTCCCTAATTCAAGCATTAATTAGGTTACTCTTCCCTAATTCAAGCATTAATCAGGATACCCTTTTCCCTAATTCCAGTAATAATTACAATACTCTTTCCTCATACAGGCATTAATTAGGGTACTTTTCCTAATAAAATCATTAATTAATGATTACGGTACTCTTTTTCCTTTTACAAGCATTAATTAATATTTATGGTACTAATAAATAAAACTAATAAATTCCTTATAAATAAAACTAATAAATTCCTAATAAAGCGAATAATTATAGAAAAAATATTTCTCAAGCTCGTTAAGAAATCTTTCCAGGCTAAAAAAAAAAAATCCTATTGAGATATCCTGTGACAATTCTTTAAAAGCAATTTAGGGAACTAAATTGGGTGAGCTCGACACATCAAGTTTGATTTCAAAATAATTTAATTTTAATTTAATTCTTTTCAACAATTCACTTTTCACATCATTAATTCTACGAGACACGATATCCAAGTATTTGTGCTAAAGTAGAATAGTAAATCAAGAGTCTGAATTTGCATAGTTTTTCCTCTTTGTTATAGAGAATGCCAGTAGTATTATTATACAATTTAACGATTTTTCATAAGCTACAAACCTTTCTAACAGTGCAAACTTCAATAATTATTTCTAAACTTGGATATGTTTAAATAAAAAGCTGCACAATCTCTCCCATGAAAATGGGAGGTGTTTCTAGTAGAGAGAAATGGAGCATTGTTCCTATGCTAAGAAAGATTACGCAGTGGTTCAAACAGATAAAAATAAAGAGGCATGTAGAGTCCTATTTTCAAGGGATATTAAGCAAAGATAAATTTTGCGATAATTACTCGTAAAATCCTTTTTCTTAATACTCAAGTTGAAATATCCAGAATGTATGTGTACAGAAACCTTTCAAGAATTTTATTCAATTGCAACTATTATCAACGATTTAATTGTAGTTATCCTTTATAAGTAACTCCTACCCATGAGCTCAGTATGTAATAATAGTATGTAAATATGTGAAATAATAAGAAAACTAAAATTTTTACATAAAAAAAACGAACATTATAAATAGTTCAGAAAATATTTGTTTTAAATTACTTCGGGCGCTAACTAAATTACCTATGTAAAAATTTTTTTTATCTGTTCTTTTACACTAGCTGCTATAAACTCCTCCATTACAACTCATATAGGCCACATTTTCTTAAGGGTTCGTGAACCACAAGAAACACTGCCTCACATTAAAAGGATTTAATGGTTCCTATTGTTATTTGAACTCTTTAAACTTCGCAAAGTAGTTAAAAAAGTATCTTTACACTAAGGTGATCAGCGTCCTCAAAAATAAATAAATTAATAAAATAATGGTAGTAAAATTTCTTTACAGATGTTTCAAAACTGACGCTTTACTTTTCCAATTTAATATTCTGAGAACAGAAGTGTTTCGCATTGATTCTCTGACAGAAATAATTTTAATAATTAAATTCATGAGCAAGAGAAATAATCTAGTTGCTATAAAATTAATTCATATTGCTATAAAATTAGGTTGCTTAACTTTTAACTCTAAAATTAAGCAAAATTAAATTTTTATGGTAACAGGAAACCTACATCAACTCCATCACAAATTGACTATTTTGAATTTATTACTTACGTTGAATTTTAATACTTTCGTGTACAATATGACATGCATTGCGTTGAATAAATTGTTTGAAATTAAATTTAATAATATTAATGGATTCTTTTGTTCACTTTTTCAGAACTTGCAAACGTTAGAAAATGGCAAACCTTTTAAGGATTCTATTGGTGATATGAAGTTTGCTATTAAAACCTTGAGGTATTACTCTGGTTGTGCCGATAAAATCCATGGAAAAGTCATACCAACTGGTAAGAATTCGTATGAATGTTGTTTCGAAAGTAATTGTTATTCTCTGTTATTAAGGATTAATTTGTCACTGAGAAGTATAAAATATTTATCTGTTTCTCAAAAGGGACCGAATAATCAATGTGACTCAAAAGTGACCGAATAATCAATGAAAGAAAACCGGAATAAGAAAGAGATGTATAATTTTGCTAAGTTCTGCTAAGATAACTAGTGTGTATTCCCACGAAGTTTCAAATTTAGATATAAAGTTTGTCAACAGATGGTATTGTTGACTAGAAATAACTATAATATTTTTCTTCATATCTTAGATCACTCAAATGCTTGCGTAGGTGGCTATTAATTTTTTTTCTCAAACTGAGCAACATTGTTGCACTATATGGTACTGGGTACTCTATTGAAAAAACATTTGTATGTTTTTTTCTCAGCAATGCTATAAAGAGACAAATTTTCTAACTAATTTGATACTCGGTGAGAATAAAATTCTGGCTTCCCTAAGCAGCACTCAGTTAACCACATATTTCTTTCTTTAACTGATTTTTCAAATAATGGATCATTTTTGGGACCCTCTTATTTAATATTTCTCTTGCGAGGTGTAAAAAATAAGTATAATTTGTTTTTTGCTTTCTTATTACATTGAAATTATCTTTATATTATTCAAAATTAATTAATTACCTGAAATACATTTTTTGGTTAACACTTTTATTTATAGATGGAAATACATTTACATATACTCGTTTGGAGCCTGTTGGAATTTGCGGTCTTATCATCCCCGTAAGTTTTTTTTTCTTTTTTCCTAATAGAAATAAAGTTGTATTTAGCGTATTGAGATTCTTTCTTAAAATTGTAATATTACATAGACAAAGATTTCTAATTAACTACGGGTCTACTATCTCTTTGCTTGCTATTATTCTCCCAGGCCCTACTGAAATCTGCAGGTTGTAAGCACAAAGCTCCATTAGTCGGAATTTCAAACCAAATTTAAATATTGTTTGCATACAAAATGCTTTTGCAATATTTATGATAAGGGCAAATTATGATATATTTGTAAATTTCAGATTATATTTATTTCAATTTTTTCTAATTTATAACTCTAGCAGACAATTTTTAGGAAACATACACACACGCAAAAATAAATTAGCATTAAAGGGGATCACGTTTTGTGACATATGTACTATATTTGTAACAAATGTGGTACCCTAGGCCCGGACCTCTCGGGTCTTACGATGTCCCTTCCAGTCCCAGAAATTTTTTTTATGTCGGATTGCTTGGGAACTGAAGTCTTTGCTATCATCATCTTACTTCATAGCAGATCGTGACTATTTCTCTCCCCCCCCATTTTTATTTATTTTTTGGGGTTAATCCATCATATTATCACTCCATTGAATTCGGTGCGGTGACTCCTTAGGGAATTTAAAAAACTTAAGATAACAAATTAGTGGTCGGACGCTTAATGCACCCAAAAGTAAAACAATTACCGCACTTGCAAACGAATATTTCGCCATCAAAAAATGTGATGTAAAAAAGAAAAGACAGATAAAAGAAAAAAAACTAGATATTGATTGGTAAAAATAAAGTCAACATACATGTGTTCACAATTCTATTAAGTTCTTTTACAGTGTTTATTATCTATTTGTTGTAGTGGAATTTCCCTGTGCTTCTGGTGACCAATAAAGTGGGTCCCGCTCTTGCTTGTGGAAACTGCGTTATCTTAAAACCTGCTGAGCAGACTCCATTGACTTCCATCTACATTGCGGCTCTTTCCAAAGAGGCTGGCTTCCCTCCTGGTGTCTTCAATGTGGTGCCCGGATATGGTCCAACTGCTGGTGGTGCACTCACTCACCATATGGAAGTGGATAAAGTTTCTTTTACTGGTTCTACCGAGGTTAGTATATATCTGGTGGACATCGTTTCTTTTTCTTAAAATGTTTACATAATGGATCTTTCATTTATTCGAAACCCTTGTCAAATATACGGTAAGAAAAAATGCTGCCTTATTAGGAGTAGCAAGTCAGCATTTAAGCTAGCAAAAATTTAAATGCTATCGATGAATCACTATCTAGGAAACTGGGATGAAAACATCAAAACCCATTCGATTTTTTATAGAACATGGAGGTGTTTCTATTAATCTCCTTTCAATGCTTTTCCTTCCACCAGCAATCAAGCAGAACTTGATTTCTTTTCTTCAGTTTCACCTTCATCTCTTGTGCTTTGGCAGATTTTAAAAATGTTTCTTTCTTGATCCATTACAGTCGTTCGTATATCGAATCTCACCACAACAAAGGACAGTAATGATTTTAAAACACTGATTTGATGATCTGTTCCCTACTTTTTACGAATTATGTTTTAATACCAGTCTTTTGACGAACTCTGAAGCTACTTTTTAAATTTGATGAGATTAAATTGTTTTCTTATCTAAACTGGAAATTTCATTTGTATCTCCTTCAATTTTTCTTAAACTTATTTTTCACCCTCCGGACTAATATTTTATAACAAGAGAAAATGCGCCTATATGGAAAATGTGGTAACACATTTGGGATTAAATTAGAAATACTTCATTCATTTAGTTGCATATTAGGGTTAGTAAAATAACAACGGGGAAATTTCAGAACCAAATACAGATTTTATTATATTTTGGTGGACACATATGCTTAACTTCCCGAAAGTATTTTGGACATGATCCAAAAACTGAACACTGGTATTTAAATGGTTAATGTATTAAATAAAATTGCCTGTTTTTTTTTTTTGTTTTTTTTTTTNGGGGGGGGGGGTTGATCAGCCCGGTTAATAAATGGACTTTTTTTCCAACATTCAATTACATAACAAATTGTAAAAAGTTTAACAATTGCTGCTAAGACCTTTAACTAGCTTTAGTTACGACTGTTGTATTGATAAGATTATTTTTCTCCCGAAAAAATTAAAATTCCAAATGGTAATACGTCAATCCAAAGACATGCACTTTTTCAAACAATTTCTAGACTGCCCACATTACATTTGGAATGTTTTATTCTTAATTAAACTAAGTACGTTATGTTTCGACCTGGGACTTACATTTTGTACAATTCTGACTTAGTATTTATTACTGATTTATTTTCAGGTTGGTAAGCTTATTCAACAAGCTGCAGGCAAAAGTAACACTAAACGAATAACACTAGAAATGGGCGGAAAAAGTCCGTTAGTCATCTGCCCAGATGCCGATTGTAAGTATCTAAACAGATTATCCATTTCTGTTTCCCAATTTACTTTTCTATTGAAAATAAATCTTGCTTAAAAAATGTTTAATCTTAGCAAAAATTTTCAAAGCGCGCTCCAAAACTTCTTAAAAATTAACATCGATTCCATTCACAATATAATCATCCACAAAAAAAAGTATATCGACATTATAATGTCGATCTTGAACTCAATGTTTAAGAAAATATTTTTAATACCTTGTTCATCAATAGTGTTAAGAAAGCTCTTAACGCAAGAAGTTGAGCCACAAAACAGGGAAAGTGATTTGATAAAAAAAAGTTTTAATATTTGTTCAGGCAAAATATGTTATAGGTATATTACCATTATATATTAGCCTCAGGTATATGATCATTATATATTAGTCTCAGGTATACAGGGATCTGTCCAGACATTTTGTGAAAGGTCCGTTTTTGTAAAATTGTGAAAAAATTACTCGTAATTTGTGAATATAAAATAAACGTTAAGTCACATTCTTTCAACCAGGGTCCGCTTTTGTGAATTTCTGTAAATAGGGTTCGTTATTGCAAAAAAACTTTTTCAAGGAGTTTTTAAATTGTAAAGACATACAAAATTATGCTCAGCACGGTAAAATTATAATTAAAAAAAAAAATTAAATTTTCAGAAATAAACAGCAATTGCTGCTTCTAAATTAGAGACGCAACATACAAAAATTTGGTATTTAGCCTATACTGCTGAACGCAGAATATTCATTTCAGACGAATAATGGAAGAATCGTCTGCCGAAGACAAAACTTAATTCTTATACATCCATCTTTCTTGTTGTCTACCCTGGGAAGGGTTTATTCGATTAACAAAGCAATAACGAAGATAAAAACAAATTTGTGAAGGATCCGATTAAAAGATAAATTATTTTGTGAAGGGTTTGTTTTTAAGTTAAAATATTTCGTGAAGGGTCCGTTTTCATGGAAAGATATTTTGTGAAGGGTCCGTTAACGGACCCAAATTTCTTCTAAACAGACTCCTGGTATGACCATTATATATTAGTCACGTGTATATGACCATTATATGTTAGTCACGGGTATATGACCATTATATATTAGTCACGGGTATATGACCATTATATATTAGTCACGGGTATATGACCATTATATATTAGTCACGGGTATATGACCATTATATATTAGTCACGGGTATATGACCATTATATATTAGTCACGGGTATATGACCATTATATATTAGTCACGGGTATATGACCATTATATATTAGTCACGGGTATATGACCATTATATATTAGTCACGGGTATATGACCATTATATATTAGTCACGGGTATATGACCATTATATATTAGTCACGGGTATATGACCATTATATATTAGTCACGGGTATATGACCATTATATATTAGTCACGGGTATATGACCATTATATATTAGTCACGGGTATATGACCATTATATATTAGTCACGGGTATATGACCATTATATATNGTTTTCATGGAAAGATATTTTGTGAAGGGTCCGTTAACGGACCCAAATTTCTTCTAAACAGACTCCTGGTATATGACCATTATATGTAAGTCACGTGTATATGACCATTATATGTAAGTCACGGGTATATGACCATTATATATTAGTCACGGGTATATGACCATTATATATTAGTCACGGGTATATGATCATTATGTATTAGTCTCGGGTATATGAATATTAATATTGTGTAATATATGTACGAGGAAAATAAAGAATCAGACTAAACAAGTATAGTTCAGATTGCTTGAAAAATTTGGATGAAAAAGAAATTCTTGTAAAAAAATTTCTTTCCCTATAGAAATATTTTAATAATACTAAAAATTTTTAAACGAAATTTTCAAAAGTTTATTTTTGAAAAACTAAGCTGAAGTACACAATGGCTTATTTGGTTAATTTATATCAATAAAGAAAAAATAACTTATCAATGAAATTTTTTTAACAAAGAATTTATTCTTTGCTGAATTTTTAAAACACAATGTAATAAATTTCTTTTAAACCTGTTTAATATACGTTGACAAAATTCAAACGTTTTATTAATCGAGTTGCAGACGGTTAAATAGATTATATATGTATATTGTACTTATATTTTTATTGTTATCATGCTTAATAAACCAGAAATGGGACGAAAAATTTTGTTACAGAGTCTGATTTCCCCCCCAATAAAAATTAGGATAGGATTATTGACCAAATATCCTACCTTAATTTTTCTTAGCTTGTGTTACTGGTAATATGAACTGTAAAGTATTTTTTTGTTTCTAGTGGACGAAGCTGCTGAAATAGCTCACCTAGGTCTCTTCATGAATCAAGGTGAATGCTGTTGCGCAAGTTCAAGAATTTTCGTCCACGAAGACATTTACGATGCTTTTGTGGCCAAATGTAAAGCACTAGCCGTAAAACGAGTTGTTGGTGATCCATACGATGAAAAAACTATTCAAGGACCTCAGGTATTCCCTTCCGTGTCCATTTTCTCATACCAACTGCATCAAAAAAATTTTTCATTGTACAGAGAGTTCAGTTATAAATTTCTTTTATATTTTCAGAATTGTTATATTTTAGTACTTCATAATTAAGCGAGAAAGGATCGTAAGTGGTATCTGAATTTTGCTTAAGACTTAAATGAAAACATATAAATTTTGTTTGCTTCATAAAACTCAGGTGTTAAAATAATTTCCATACTTATATTTTTTCCCAATGCGCACCACTTTTCGTAACATTTGGCTTTATGGTACTTATATAATGAGCGATAGTGTTGGTCTCTTTTGTAGGCATCATGTAGGTGGATCAGCATCAACCCAACAACACTAACAAGGACAGAGAGAGAAAGTACATCCATGTCCGAAGCTTGACTCGAACCCTGAACCTATCTTAATATTATCTCTTCTCTTGTTACTCTTTAAATCATGAAACTTAGAGATGTCTAATTCCTAAGGAATGTCTAATCGCCTAAGGAGTAAAAGGGAAGGAATTGAAAGGAGACTATTAGAAAGACCTCGAAGTTTTGTCAGACAATCTAAATAGTTTTGATGTTTTCATTTCCGCCTTCCTCAGCAGTAGCTGGTTTAATTTCGAAAGAGTTTTTGTTACTTTTTCTAATGAATTGCGACTCCTTTAATCTTTTATTTATTACAGTCAAAACACTGAACTCAGTTGGTGAACACTGATAGGTGGACCATGATCAGTTAGGTTATTTTTTCCTCACAAATACAGTATTAGTTACACTGACAAAAGCAAACTTTGTCCCATTACTTGACGCACAAATATTCTGTTTTTTTCCCTTTAAAGTTGAATTCAAAATTCAAAATTTGAGTGAAAAAACACTCTTAATTTGCCGTATAAGGAGGAAACGATTTCTACTGTTAATACAGCATCAATGATCAGTCTGCCACTACTGATAATTTATGCATGGTGCCGGCCTAGGACATCCTAAGATACAACACCGTGAACTAGAACATTGACCAGATGTCAATAATAAATTCAAAACTAGTTTCAGTGGAACTAAAATGTAAAGATTGATGCATGTTTTTAAAAAATCTTAGGTTTTAAGAATTTCCTCCATCCTCATTTTTATAATGACTCAGTTATTCTTAAATAAATCTTATTATTATTAAATATTTCCTCCTTCTTTAATTTTTAATAAGAAGTTTACAATTGTGGAATATTGTTTCAGATCGACGATGAACAGTTCGATAAAATCTTAGACCTCATCGAATCTGGTAAGAAAGAAGGAGCCAAACTTGAATGCGGTGGTAGCCGGCATGGCACTAAAGGATATTTCGTCCAGCCAACTGTTTTCTCAAATGTTCAAGACCATATGCGCATTGCGAAAGAAGAAATTTTTGGACCTGTTATGCAATTATTAAAGTACAAAACATTGGAAGAAGCAATTGAAAGATCTAATGCAACCTCATATGGATTGGCTGCAGGAATTGTTACCAAAAATTTGAACACAGCTACCCTTTATGCACAGCAAGTACGAGCTGGAACTGTATGGTAAGCATATTCTGTTCTTTATGTATTACGTATTTGATGCTTTTATTATGCTCATTCGGTTTAAATTCTCTTGAGTGAATGAAGATACTTTATGCTGTAAATTTGTCCATTTTGTGATTATCCAATTGCATGTAAAACATTATTTTTAAGTCTTATTAAGGTATGTTTTCATTTTCTCATTATTTGTACAAAAATATTAAGTCATTATAAATGAATGATACATTTAAGCATTTTTCAGACTTTCCTTTACAAAAATTCTACTCTTTATTTGGTAACAAAATAAAATATAATTTTATTTCGAAAAATTCAAAATAGAAAAATGTTTTTTTTTTTATTATGAGGGAAATAAAATATTTTAAAATGAAGTACAGTACACTCTCGATTATCCGTGCGCGGATTATCTGGTTTGCGGATTATCCATGCTCACTCCGGAGTCACACAAAAAATATGAAGAGAAACATTTTCAACATTAAAAAAATTTGATTCATGAAGTTGTAACACTACCAAATTTTTGGAAGCAATATTCGTTATTGGATTGCAGTATATGGAATATCAGTAGCATAGTCAAAGGTAAAATCGTGTACGTTATCACGATCTTGAAGAAAGATCATACCGCTTGATGAACAATCCTCTTCAGATATTCAATAAAAATATGCTAACAGTATTCTCGAACAAGCAAAAGAAATCTAAGGTTTCGAAATTTTAGAAGATTGGTTTCAAAGTGATGCATGTGAGCCTGGCTTCCAGTATTTGACTGATGACGACATCGTTATGTTGTTAAATCAAATAGTGATGATAGTAACTGATGCAAAAGATGTAACAAATGAATGAAATACAATTTCTCATTCTGCTGCTCTGTGGAAACTTTATTAGATTATATGGAAGGATTTGATTACGGTGACATAAATGCGGTTCGTAAAATATGTGAATCGATATATGTCGAAGGCGCATTACACATTTTTTAATAAGGAAAAATCCTAGTTTGATGTTATGCATGCAAATGTCGGTAATTTTTATATTTTTTGTACTGATATTGAATTTTTCTTTCATAAAAGGAGTTTTTGGATTATCCGTGTTTTTCGATTGTCCGTGCGACCAGTCCCGGTGATTAACCCGGATAATCGGGAGTGCACTGTATTACCACTCGCGAATAGCTATATTCTTTAAATAATTGCCTGTTCCACAATCCCGTATTTTTTTATTTATTTATTCCTTCCCCTTCTTCCATATTTTATAGCATAATATCAAGCACCACTTTATTTTACGGCATGAAATTGCGTCATCATTTTTTTATTTTTTTAGTTTGCCAGGGAATAGCCATATCAGAGTTTTCTTCCGCCGAAATGAACAGTGCGCACAAATAAAAAACGTTATCACTTAGAATAACTTATAATCTAATGATCAGATCGTCACGTTCTAGGATTCATTTTTAAAAATTCGAGGAGTTGACCCCATATGTTACTTAATTAGGGCAGACCATATTTTAACTTACGAAATCAAACACAAAAAACTACTTTTCCTGAATAAACATACTTTTTCTTTCGACGATTCCAGTGTTCATTCTTTGTGTTTGAATGAAAACTAGATAATTTTCAAGCGAAGTTAGAACGAGTCTTTCAAAAGTGACGTTAGTGTTAAAAATTTGTGTTTGTTGACATTGAAAAAGTAAATTTCGTACAATGACGTATTTCTTAAACGCGAATTTTTAGCTGTATTTATTTATTTTCTTAAATAAGCATTATTAGCTATCGGTATTTATTTTTTCAAACACGTCTTTAAAGCTACGTTAAAATAAAAGTTCTCAAACATACTCCAATTAATAGTTACTGCGGATAAAGTTGAAAAGTATCTCTGAGATAGATGAAATTTGATTCCAGGTAATGAGTGACAATATGCCCCAGATTTGAATCGTCTTCTATAACCACCTCTGTGATAAAATTTCTTTTTTGATATTGCTACCTTTCGACATTTGGAAAAAGTTCACCATCACGGATTACCGAATTTTACTCTGCCATGTTTACAGAAAATGCCTTTAAGTTCATTTAATTAAAAAAAAATTACATTTTGAAGTGAAGAGTTCAAAAGGATAGTTGAATTTTCTCCTTAGCAACTAGAACCAATTTGGGGAGAGTCAGGTAGCCCCGGCCACTTTAGGAGTATTGCTTATATTTCTGTATAATATTGAATAATAATCAATATTTTTGTATGTTTCTATTGTTTTACCATCTAATTATGTTGTCATTCCCAGGGAAGGATAGCTACGAAGTCTTTTTATACCGCCAGATGGNATCAGAATTTTTGCAAGTTGCAATCGCGCAAACTGGCATTTCGATAATAGTTTTAAATTCTTGTAAATTCACTGCAAAAACTGAGGAAAGTCATTATAGAAAATAACAAATGTCTTAGAATATCTCGCAAAAAGAAATGATCCAATATTAGTTAGAGCTAGTAAGGCCAAACGCTCCGTTCTTGAAGTAAAAGTGCGAGCTTTGCGCCAAAGTGACGTCACTAGAGTGACGTAGGAGGATCGGCGCGGCGAGAGATACTTCAAAGGAGTGAACCAGCCCTTCTATTCTCTTTAGCCCTGTCTCTGAGCAGGGGTCTGTTTAGAAGAAATTTGGGTCCGTTAACGAACCCTTCACAAAATATCATTTCATAAAAACGGACCCTTCACAAAATATTTTAACATAAAAACGGACCCTTCACAAATTTGTTTATCTTCGTTATTGTTTAGTTAATCGAATAAACCGTTCCCAAGGGGAAAAAAATAAAGATGGATGTAAACGAATTAAGTCTTCGGCAGACGCTTCTTCCATTATTCGTCCAGAATGAATATTCTGCGTTCAGCAATAAAGGCTAAATACCAAATATTTGTATGTTGCATCTCTAATTTAGAAGCAGCAATTGTTGTTTATTTTTTAAAATTTAATTTTTTTAATTATAATTTTACAGTATTGAGCATAATCTTGTATGTCTTTACAATTTAAAAACTCCTTGAAAAAGTTTTTTTTTGCAATAACGGACCCTATTTGCACAAATTCATAAAAGCGGACCTGGTTGAAAGAATGTGAGTAATTTTTTCACAATTTCACGAAAAACGGACCTTTCACAAAATGTCTGAACAGACCCCTGATAACCACCTCTATGATAAAATTTCTTTTTTGATTTTGCTACCTTTCGACATTTGGAAAAAGTTCACCACCACGGATTACCGAATTTTACTCTGCCATGTTTACAGAAAAATGCCTTTAAGTTCATTTAATTAAAAAAAAAAATTACATTTTGAAGTGAAGGGTTCAAAAGGATAGTTAAATTTTCTCCTTAGCAACTAGAACCAAGTACATCAGTTAAGTGCGCTTTAAAAGCAAATTGTATAGTTGTAATTGAAAATTTCTTCAATTGCTTAGCTCAAATTTTTGTGTCCTCAATTGTATCTTTTCGCTTGATATTTTTTGAACTTTTAGGGTTAATTGCTTCTTTGCTGGTTCTGCCCAAGTTCCTTTCGGAGGATTCAAAATGTCTGGTCAAGGCAGAGAATTGTAAGTCTAATGATTTTATAATCAATTTTATGTTCACAATGAAAATAATTTTATGTTTTTACTTTGTGTGAATTTATTTCAAAATCTTTTCCTTCCTTCTTTAGCGGAACCGATGCTCTACATGCCTACTGCGAAATTAAAAGTGTAAGTATTTAAAATTTTACTCTGTACTCGGGGCATTTCTTAATGACTGCTTTTAATATTTTCAAAATTCAAAAGTAAGGTCAATAAATTTTACACATTAGCAAATTAATATTTAGGTTAGGAAAAACAAAAACGCTACTTAATTTAAACAAATCACTACTAGGGGTAGCGGTACTGAAATCGTTAAAACCAGCTTAATTGTCAGATAAAACTTGGTACTTCTAATAATCATTTTCAAAGCCTTTGTTTCTTCTAGTAATTTAACAGGTTTGATGTTTTGTCGTCACTTCACGGAAGACTTGAATTTACGTTGTTTTTTTCAATCTTACAAAAGTATATTATTTTTATTGTTTGTATTCTAAGATTTTAACCTACATATTAAGAGTGGTTATTATGGAACATCCTGATGCTTAGTGTCATTAAAGATATGTCATTGTTTTTAGGATATATTTGATATAGTTTGGGCTTATAATCCCAGTAAAAAATATTTTACGCAAAAAAAAAGTTAATAGAATCTCTTCAAACTTTGAAAATCTACAAGCACTCTAAAATATGTATTTTTGAAGAAAATGAGTTCACAGTTGTTTTGCTGGAAGATTATATAATGTTTTGGCTTATCAAACACGTTAATACAATACATGAATTTACTTAAGGATTACTTATGGATTAAGATAATTTCATTATTTTCAGTTCAGTTTAGTTATAAAATAATTAAATTTAAAAAATTCCTAAATAAAGCTTGAATTGTTTGCAATTTCTTGTATTTCTCCTTATTATAAATGATAGTGTAAAATTGAATGTGGAACAAATACGAACGAAACAATTTTTTTTGTTGAAGTTTTTACATCTTCAACTGAAATTGTAATACTCATTTATGAATTTAAAGAAGAAATACTTTTTAAAACAAATTGTGATAATCTAATTTTTAAAATTTACTTAAGCGAGAACAGTTTCGTGACAAATTAGAAAACATTACTCAAATTTCGTGAATTGTTTTTGGAAGAAATTTGAATACGTTATTTCACTATGCTCTTCAGTTACAAAAAATGATTTGTTTTTAATTTGTCACAGTATTTTCATTTTGTTTAGAAATTAATGTAATTTTAACACTACTTTAATGGTAGTAATTTTAGTAAATGCATACTTACAATGTTGCTTTCAGTTTAAAAACATTATGAAAACTTATCCTTTGATTTTTCTTCCTTCCTTTAGGTCACTACAAGGATTCCACAAAAGAACTCCTAAATCAATCGAGTTTATTTTTTGTACTTTTCTAAGAAAAATTGTTGTTATTGAAAGCTAATAAAGAGTTGATTTTGTTACAAAATTGTTTTTAAAGTGTTTTTTTCATGAGTGACTCTGCAAAATAAAGAAAATTTAATATGGCGAAGGTACAGCTGCTTACCTAATGCCAAAATTTAATTCATCATATGCCTGCGTGATCGTTTGCTACAATAAAAAAATAAACAATTTCTACAGCAAGCTTGTTGGCAGTTAAAAATAAACTAACTGCTAAAAAGCAATGGAAAATATCGTCTGATGAAATATTTGAATTGGAATTTAATAATTTGTTGTATAAATTTTAGAATAATCATATGTCATGTAAAATCATTGATTTTATCAAATAATTACTTTTTTTAAAAACGTTTAAAATAATAATAAAATAACCAATGCTAATGAATATTAAAGTGTAGTTTTTCCGGCATTTTTTAAGAGGAATCATTATGCAGTTTAAACTGTCATTAGTTTTTATTCTAATTTTTTAAAATGCAATTTTTCGAATTTAAAGATCACACCAATGCAATGCGACATGTGTTTTGGAAGACTATATGATGCTTTTTTTTAAATTAGGGTTTCTTTAACCCATGACAATTAAAGTATTTTTTGTATAAGAGTTAATTTGATGTGAAATCCGTTGATTGCCTTTATTGAGATTTTAGTATTACATATTATATCGCAACTGATTAGGCTATACGCCTGTTCCCAACTGTATATAATCTACTTCCTTCCTTTTTTTTTTATAATCAAACCTTGAAGTTGTGATCGCTAAAAAAGGGGGAGGGTTTAAAATGGTGGTTCAAGCTTTTATGGGAAAAGAGATTGCATGAAAGATATCTAAAAGTAATGTTAAAATTCTAGGCTAAAATCAAGCTCCTTGCTTTAATCTTAGTCTTTTATTGCTGCTTCGAACTCTTCATGAGTTTTTCATGAGAACATTCATATTGACACTTGGAAAGTTTACTTTTTACCTGTTTCACCTTTCTTTTATGTAAAATTCCGTGAATTTTAAGACATAGAGTACTTTATTAGAAACATTTTATGAGTTAACGCTATTTATTTTAAAAATTTTTATTGCTATTGCTAATTTTTTATTTGTTTTCGCCGTGCCCACTACTAAATCGAAACTAAATTTTTGCACACCATTTAAAAAGTAATTAAGCGAAAGATTCGAGCATTTGTTTTAGGATATAACAGATTGACTGAATAAGTTAGGAATAGTAATGAATTTTTAAAATATATCATATTAAACTAGCAACATTTAATATAAATTTACAAGTTTTTTTAATATATATATATTGATCATTCAACAGATTTTTTGTATTTGTGCTGAAAAAATAACATCTGATGCAAAAATTTATAAAATCCCTAACATCGACTGATATAGTAAGCATTGATTAATATTTCACAGATTATCAACGTCAAGGTATTCTATAGAATGACTAATGGAAAACGTGCAAGCATTCTATCCGAATGACTAGACAAATTACATAAATTCACATTCAGTCTAAAAATACTAAGCATTTTATAAAATGACTTCGCATTTCATACGTTAGTGGTTATAAACCCATGATTTGAGAAATTCAGAAATTTTTTAAAATATGTTGCACTTTGAAGAGTTAATTTCTCGCTGATGTTTCTCATACCTTTTATTTGAACAATTTATTGCTTTCCTTGAAGAATTAATTAAAACTTTGAAGAACAACAATTTTTTTTTAAAAAAAAAAGACTTATAAGTAAACTAGACGCCTTTCATTCAGGTTTTTAAGTTATTTACATTGTAGTTCATAAAAGAACTACCAGTTCAAATTATTGCCAAGTTTCTTCCGTGTCTCACAGATATACAGTGTGCTACGTAATAGCCTATTCAGGCTGGACTGAAAACATAAACTGTTTGATGGCCCCTTGAAAGTTTAAGATGTTTCTAATAATCGCATCTCAACCCTTACGTCTCCTATAATTTTGGTGTTTTCTGTCCCCACCTTTCTCTTTAGTGATTTTTGATTTTAGTTTGATTTTTTTTCTTAACTTTTCCTTTTTCAAATATTATTTAGCGACTACTATGCTAAATAATAATGCTTTTTTCTCTTTCATAAAGAATTTTAACTTCATCGTTATATTGATTTTTGCCACTGGAAAAAATTCTCAAAAGTTCAATTTTTTTTCCTTCAAAATTTTGTTACTGCTTTATTGATTGATTCAGTAATACTGATTTCTTGATAACTTATGAAGTGATACAAAAGTAACAGTAAAATTACACCATTTCATTTTCGATAACCGTCAACGTTTATCTCAGTTTTACACATTTATCTGCTCAATGAATGACATTGAAAACAAACGAGACTCCGGATATTAAAAAAGCAATGAAATGGAGATAGTATTTTTGCCTGTTCTAATGTAGAGCGCTTTATCAATTCTATTAAAGTAGCATTTGACGGAAATATCTGAGAGGTCATTTATAAACAAATATTGAAGAGCTTACTGGAAAAACACTTTAAGTGGTATTTTAGAGAATCTTTCTGTCATAAAAATAGATTACTGTTGCCGTCACTGTTTCAGAAAACTTGCGCAGCTCGTGTGTTTCTCACTCCCAAAACTAAAAAACTATTGGATGAAATTTTAAGTACTAGATCTTGGCTCAAAGTGTTCAAACCATTTTATTGTAATCGTTTCATTAGTCACTAGAATATAATTTCAATAAGAAATTAATTTGACTAAAGAACAAACCATAAGTGAAGAATATCTAAATGATAAAAATTTTATTAACGTTACTTTTATCTTCTTAAAATAATAATAACAATGGTCCTAAAAATAATTTTAAAATTTTGTTCTACTTGCATGTCTTTTGCAAAATAATGGTTCGGTTTGTCCTAATTGATCGGAGTTCTTAACTACAGTGAAAAATTATAAGAAGGTTGAGAAATTCGAATCCAGTAAACCTTTTTTAAACACTGGCATATAAATATCTGTATTTGAATCTAAAGGGTTTAGTTCAAGACCAAAAGGGAAAGAAATGCACTATATAAAAATATACTTCTACATGCAAAAAAATAAAAATAAAGGAATAATAATAAAATTTATAAATTTTTTATGCAGTAGTTAGAAAAGTTAATTAAATTTAACTAAATGAAAACTTTTTATCACTTTAATGAGTTTCTTCTAAGCTACATATTTTTAAGTGAATTCATTTTTAAGTTATTTTTGAAATTATTTAACTCTTTAAAGCGGAATTTTTATTAAATTAATAACGAAATAATAAAAAAGGATGAATAAAAGAATTATCTCATTTTTCTCTCATTATTTTGTATTAATTTAGATCAGAGTAAGTGAAAAGTATTTTAATTAGCATTTAAAAAATTTTTTTCCAAAAAATACAACATTAAACACCGGTGTCTTTTTATGCGTTAAAGGTAAAATCTTCCAAACACGGCTCTTTTCCAAACAATTTTTTAAATTTGCATTAATTTGCATTTTTTTTTACAGCTAAGAGAAATAGTTATTCATCATTGAAATTTCTTTAATTTACAAAAACGATTATTCATAAATTTTTGAATATAAATGGAAAAAAAATTGATTGGATTTCATATTTTAGTGCAAAAAAATTTCCGATAATTAAACAGATTTTTTAGTAACTATTAGACTGTTTTTTTATAATTTTAAAACAAATTATATTTTTGCTTGTAATTAGGGAGTCAGAAAATTTATATGCATAAGGAATACCGGTGCGCCATCTGCGTCAAAGGGTTAAAACTCGAGTTTCTGAAAATAATATGATTCAACTTTGACATTGCAGTAAAATTGTCCGATATTCAGCGTGCAATTCACTTTTTAATATTGTGGCCAAGTCTTTTGCATAGAAGCATGCATTCTTCAAATTACTTACTGGAATATAAAATATAAATAGAACTAAATTTATCAAAATAAAAAGTGGGTTAAAGAAAGAATCCATTAAGTGAAGGATGTCGAAATGATACACTAACGCCACTCTCTCTTATCGTTCAGTATATAACGGAAGAAACGTGTTTTCTAGTGTGTAATGAACCGAGTTCTGTCAGAAAGAGAAAAGCTCCTTTGACGCGTTTTTCGTTACACTCCGCTATGCATTTCAAGCCAGACCCTAACGTTCAGCCCAAATACACACAAGTAAGATTACTTATTTATGATTTCATTGTTTTGAATCTCATTTTGTAAAGAACTTTTAATTCTATCAAAATTTAAGTAAGAGATAGAATCCTTGTCCAACTTCAGATAGTAATTTTCACTGTATTAGAAAATAAGAAATTAAAGTACGAATTTAGAACTGATTTATATGCATTTAAAACCAGTCGAACAACTATAATATTTTAAAAATAGTTTATGAGGAATTCACATGAAGTTATGAACTTAATTATCATTTCAAACAGTAAATCTTTTTTAAAAATCAATGCCGCTTCAAAAGTGGTTAGGATACTTGTTAATTTGCTGAATAAAAACTACTACTTCGCCTTCTATAAATTTTAATGTATTTAGGAGAAAAAATTAATTTTTTCGCCTTACGGTTTTTCGCTATAACTTTATAGATATTTGATGGAATTAAGCAAAATATTTTAAACGATTTAAGATCAATTACGAAATTGTCGATCTGAAATTTTAAAAAAGTTCGTTAAAAACTTCGCAAGTTATGAGTATTTAAATTAGTTCCTTTGTATACCACGCATGTGCAGAAAAATTTAATAAGTTTTTTCATAATTTTGTAGTGAATCGTATTTTGCAACTAGAAAGAAAGCTGAAGCTTTGCTCAAAAGAAAGCTGAAAACGATCAGGGGTTCTTCACAAATTTTATTTTGCATCATAAGACAAAATTTAATAACAACTGATAATACCTTATAATCATCGTCTGGAAACTATGATGGTATAGAGAAAGAAAATATGCAAAAGAAAACATACTTTTATTGCTGGAGGGGGGGGGGTGATCCCTCACAGTGCAGGTCTCATTTTTAATTAATCTTGCTTTAATAGTGCAAGATGAAATTTGTGGATAACCCCTTATCGTTTTGAGCTTTCTTTAAAAAAGTACAAAAATCACTTAGAAACTCGCTTGAAACTCGCAAGATATTATTTGAAATAGAATTAGAATTAATGGATCTTTTAAGATATTCAAATAAAGCTTTAATCATTAGCTGTCAAATACGATTCCCTGCAAAATTATAAAAAAAAAACTTCTTTAAATTTTTTCTGCGAATCGGCAGTTTAAAAGGACTAGCTTAAACTCTCACATTTAGAGCAGTTTTTAACGAATTTTTTTAAAAAAAGTTTTTAATCAGCAATTTTGTAATTAATCTTAAATTTGTCCAGACATTTTGTTTAATGTCATTGAATATTTTTGAAGTACTAATATCAAAAATACGTAAGGCGTATTTTTTTATAAAAATGTTCATATTTCCATAAATATTTACTCTAGGCTTATGAAACTTAATGCAATTATTAAAAATAATAACTAAAGTAATCGATACAAGTTTTTGCTTGATTTTCTTGTGTAGGTCGTTCAAAAATACTTCTTTTCTTTATTAATTTATTGTATGTCTTCCAAACCTCTGAAAGCTTTAAATCTTATTGCTAAGTATGAAAAATTGTATGAGCTAAACACCTCTACAGTGTTAAAAACTGAAAATGTCTCTTCCATTATTGTAGGGTAGTGTGTATATACTATTAGATTCTCATTTTATAAAGTATTTAAGGGAGTAATCTTTAAAAAAAAATATTCTATGAGTCAAAAGTGAAAGTCATGAAGTCAAAAATATTTAACGAAATATTGTTTCGTAATTCGAATTATAATGGAGCCTAACACTTATGTGTGCAAAGACTAAACATATACCGGTTTGTTTTATTTCCTGTCCTTGAACTTAATGATTGTTTGTGAAGTAGATTTCAAATTATCACTAAAATATCACATTTATCTTAAATTATGCAATTATATATCATCGTTGATGATTCATCAGCAAATGGTGTATTTGAAGTTATTATATGTTTAACTCAATTCATTTGTTATGTATACTCTATTCATCAATTCTGATTTTTTCCCCCCGTCTTTTCTGGAAATTTTAATATTTTTTTTTGGGCAGCACTTGCAAATTATAAATTTTAGAACGGGAAAATAAGTATAAAAGAATTAGAAAAAAAATTATTTCTGTGAAAAGAAAAGGCGTTTCACTAATGGAAAAACAGAAGGTGTTTTTTTTTAAAAGTATAAATTGATTAAAAACAACATTTAACAGTGTGCTTCATCATCCTCGTCCTTAATAAATATATATTTTGACTCCGGTGAAAAATGATTTATAAAAATAGACATAGTGGGATTTTCAAATAAATATTTAAGCGAGAATGGAACAAAACACGAAAAACGCTATTGAAATTTGTCGAATTATTTGCAAGGATGGAAGTACGATAAGCACCAAAACCAATTTGATTACCTAGTAAGTCATGGTAGTGTTTTAAATAATCAGCTTTCAACATTTATCGGATTTATCAATCAACAGAATCGGAAAAAAAGAATATATGTGAGGGGTGGTCATTACAGATCACCTAATAAAATTGGTTTATTGAAATGTTTAGAAACTGCTTACGTTTATAAAAACGTGTAATTTTGAGGCTATTTTTCACTAGATTTAAAGCCTTTTACTTTTAACTTTTTTATTTTTAACTTTTTTATACTTTCAAAATACGCTTTTCTTAAAATTCAGAAATATTGAGTCTTGGTGTCTTAGGTTTAGTCTTCCAAGTCTTCGTCTTCCAAATTCCGCCTGAGTTTCGAGACCCAGATTCTAATTCCAGCGGTGGTTGGTTGATACGAATTCTTCTCGTGGCTCACGACGACCACAGTGCTGACTTAAAATATCCTTAGTGGTAAACGGATCGTAGCTTTGAATTCTATTGCCATCGGGCTAGCTGTGGGAGGTTTTCATGGTTTTCCTCTCCATGCAACGCAAATGTGGGTTAGTTCCATCATAAAGTCTATTTTGTCCCACGCTTGTTCCAAGGGTTCCCTTTTGTTCTGTAATAGGCTCAAAATTACAAACATTAATAGTTAACTCAGAAATGGGATGGCTGTTCCACGCCGGTAATAAAATAAAATAAAATTCTGAAAATATGACTTTCAAAATTAGAATTTGAAATTTATGAAATTCTTCGGCGCATTCAAAAATGTATGACTACTGAAGAACGAAACACACTCTGCGGCAATATTTTATAAATCAACAAAATGAATTGTTTTTTCATTTCGGGCAACCAAATTTAATAAAAAGAATAAAAATTTCGAAAATACTTTTTTTAAGGTAAAAATGAATTTTTTCAGACCTAAAACGTACATCACTTAGGAAGACAAGGGGAGAGATTTTCGATAATGATCAAATTTTACTACGAAAGTAATGCTACCTCCGGTTTTCCTTTTAGATCCGACGAAAATCCATATGAAGTTTTTTACATAACATTAAGTTTTTTAAATACTTTATTTTACTATTTTCTTCTTTTTGATTTTGTGTTCTGTTTAGCTTGCGATCAAAATTTTGATTGGCGATATGGTGGTAAAATGTCGATAAACTTTGTTTGCACTATTCAGAAAACTGTAAGTTGCATTGTCATCTGGCACAGAATTCCAGTAGTAATTTGAGTCCTCTGCCGAAAGTAGTCGTAATTTCGATTGCTAGATTCCACCATTACAGATACGAAAGCGAGTTCATAAAGCATCGTAAAAATAAAAATCTAAATTGAGGTCATCGTCCAAAATTATTTCTTATTTAGAAACCAATTTAACTTGTTTTTATACAACCTACGTTCTCCGAGAGATCTCCTCTAGCTTCATTACAAGCATATAACTGATTTTAATGAGATACATATTTCTCTCTTACATAAACGTATTTTGTTAGGAAATAAAACATTGCATGCAGTCTACTAAGGACGCATGGGGTAGGATTAAATTCCAGGGTGAAAGAGGTCACTTCATTGCAGCAAAATAAATAAATAAATAAACGAGCTAAAATGAATGACTCTTTCACTCTCTCTGACTCCATTAAATAGACGTAAATTTCTCATCAAGTGTTATAAGAATGTCATTTTGGTTAAGTGAGAAATTCATCTTGAAACCAGGTCAGCATAAGTTGTTTATTAGGGTCACTGTTATTTGTTTCCGTTTTCAGTTTTTTTCTTCTCAGGACTAGAAATAGGAACCTCAACATAGTCTCTGTTTGAAAAATTTAAGTTCTGCTTAAAATCTTTATTATAAAGACTAAAAAAAGAGAGAGAAAAGAAATTAAAACAGTAAAATTTCAGAAAAAAACGGTTCAACATTGTACTTTAATATCGGTATTTTAAAACATAGTATCTGTATCTTGAACCACGATATCAGTATCTTGAACCATGATATCTGTATATTGAATCATGATATCAGTATCTTGAACCACGATATCAGTATCTTGAACCATGATATTGGTATTTTGAACCACGATATCAGTATCTTGAACCATGATATCTGTATATTGAATCATGATATCAATATCTTGAACCACGATATCAGTATCTTGAACCAAGATATCGTTATCTTGAACCATAATATCGGTATCTTGAACCATGATACCGGTATCTCGAACCATATAACATCGGTATCTTGAACCATAATATTGCGCTAGTTTACTGTAATCGTAATAAGATGTTAAATCTAACCATATTTCCGCTTTAGATTAATCATATAGTGTCGTGTAATCAAATTTTATATTGTTTAATTTATATGGTAATAGGGTGCAACTTAGCACTATATTAAGTCTGCAACAAATTTGTACGATATTGAGGTTGAACGCAGGCTAAAATTGTTAACAGTGTAGATGCGGCTTTAAACCTATTACTCATTTCAAGAATAATAATGCGAACTGGAAAAAAAATGGTTTAAAATTTTTACATTTTATTTATTTAATAATTTTTAAACCCAATTTTTAGACAAACGACATAAAAAATACAATTTAAATAAATAGTTAATGGTAACGGTTGAAAACAGACAACAATCTAAGTTACTTCGTTTAACTAAATTCTATGATGGAAAATATAATATAAAAAAATATAATAATAGAAAATATTATGGAATAAAAGATAGTGCAATATAAATTTTAACTCTAAATTTAACAATATAAGTATTTTTTTTAAATTGAATTTTCCCAATAATCTTATATTTAACGGTGGTTGAATTTGATAAGAATGTTTCATTTATTTATTCTTTAATTAATTCGAGTGGAAATACAATTTAGAGATAATAATAAATGTGCAAGGGCTGAAACAGACTAAACTTGTATTCCTACTTCGTTTTCAAAAATTCTGCTTTGAGTTTAATCACGTCAATAGAAAAGAACAAAATAGAACATATTGATATAAAATAAATTTTAATAACAGATTCAACCATAGGCTTTTTTTTTATTCATACTATTCGAATATTAATTGGGGATTGGATTTGCTAAAAATGTTGCGAACTGAAACGAGTAACATTAATTAGAACATTAACAATTAGTAACATTAATTTTAATTAGATAACACTGTTCAAAAGGTCGTAATTAGGTTAAACAGATTATTTATTGTATTTCTAATATTTGTTCACTTACCGTAAAAGTTACAAGCTCTATTAATCGGGATTGAAATTGCAACTGTGAAATATGTATATCATTCGGAATGTTTAGAAATTTGCCCTTGAATAATAGGATTTTGAAATTATATTTAACAAAGGGAATTTTAATTGATTTGAGGTGAAAATTTTCTTGTGTTCTTGATATAAACTATTCTTCACTGATTTATCCTATTTTACTGAATTTTTCATATTATGAGATCCGAAATGATGTTACGCTTTGAAGGAAGGGGGGATTTGAAATCTTGACAGTTCGTGACAAGGGGTTGAGAGGGGTAACAAGTAGTGTGACATCACACATTTTAATTACAATAAAAACATTTAAAATAAACAGTATATTTATTCTATATTACTTTTTCAACAAAGCATGTTCACAGCTCAATATTACTATTATTTTCCCTCAGATTATTAACACTCATAGTTAAAAAGAAAAAATATTCGAAATAAGATCACTAACATGTATTTTGTTTGTGAACTAATAGTTTATTTTTATGAAATATATCGTGACTTGTGAGAAATGGTTAATAATGACACTTTGTCAAAGGGGAGTAGGTCAAAAAAATTGACAAGAATTTGGCTTCATTTATGGAATTAACCGAAAAGAGTAATAAATGAATTAATAAATTTGGTAGACGAAATGATTAAATCGATAAATATGAAAGTTTTCCTGTATTTTCTTTTTTTAATTTATTATAATTTTTATGCGGAACCAAAAAAAAATGGAAAGAATTTAAACGATGTGACTCAGTGTATTCGACTGTCTCAGTATATTCAAATACTTCAAAAAAAAGTTTTTTATATAATTTTTGAGATTATCTGCACATTTAAATTAGATTTATTATTTAATTTGATAAAAAGTCATTTATGCTATAGTTACTATGGTAACAAGATTTTTTAAAAAAATATGCATCTACTTTTACTGCACTATTTGATTGTTGTATACGTTATATAATCTACACTACTTACAGACCACAAAATCAGCATTTTAATTCACTCGTTAACATTAGTTATCTAAAAAATCAATAATCTTCTAAAAACAACATCTATTTCAAATATTTGTCTAAGAAAAATGGTTCTCAGTTAAGTTAAACAAAACAATGCAATTTTGTCTTATTTTTTAGTGCTCTGTTGGTTTAAATTCAGAAGAAACTTTTAATGCAAATTAAACTGAAAAAATTTAGGCATTTTTTAATAAATTAAAGTTTGTTTACGATTATTTTATAATAAATATATGAAAGTTAATCACTTGTCTGTTTAACATTTATTCAAAACTAAATGCGCATTTTTTATATCCAGACCTTAATTATTTTTATGCACTGTAAGTTTAATGCAATTATTCTAATTTTCCTGTTTCTGCAAGCTATTCAAATGAACTTTTCTCATCCGAAATTTCTGATAACTATACAGACTTAAGTTTTATGTAATGACACACAATAAAGTCAAATAAAATTATATATTTAATTTTTATTTTTTATAGATTTTTATCAACAATGAATGGATGAATTCAGCGGGTGGAAAAAAATTTCCAGTCATTAACCCTGCAACAGCTGAGAAGATATGCGATGTTCAAGAAGGCGACAAGGTAAAATAAATTATTTGATTATAGGTTATTTCATACAAGGTGATTCAAAAGGCAAAAGGGTAAACTAGGCTTACAAAAAGAATAGAAAAATCACATAGCAACATTGTCGCAAACTTTAATACAGAGCCGCTAGACGGTGTTTCAAATTTTACGTGACAAAGACAAAAAACAAAAATCATTCTCATCATTTCATTTTTACCATATTTCCTCACATTTATCACCGATACAATTAAAGAAGATTCTCAAAATTTTTTCCAAAAATCTGGAGACGATCAGTGCTACATGGAAATGTGCATAACATACCAACAACATACCAAAAGGCGTACCTCGAACGGACGTATTTTAAACATACCAACAGTCGTATCTCGAATAAGCAACAACGATTCTTCAAGCTAAAGTTTCCCGTGATGAAAGAACTGTTTTGTAAATATTTTTAAAAAATATATTTGAGACAAATCTGGTTATCGTGGTGGCTATGTGATTTGTCTTAATGTTATCATAAAAGCACCCTCTAGTGGTTCCAGGTAGTGTTAACGATTTTATGTTCTTATGTTATTTCCTTTTGTATTATGCATGCTTTGCCCATTCATTTTAACCACGTCATTTTGAAACACCCGTGAACAGTTATTTTATTCGGTTATATCATTTTAAAGTATTAAAGTCACTTTTATGACAGGAAGAGATAAAAACGATTTTTTCAAAATCATAAAGTGGTCTATCACCTTAATTAGTAATAGCGTTTTTCAACTTTTAAATAAAATTTTAACATTCTTGATTCATTTCTTTAGGCAGATATAGAAAAAGCAGTTCAAGCAGCAAGAGCTGCCTTTAAAAATGGTTCAGTATGGCGAACAATGGATGCTTATGACAGAGGACGACTTCTCAGCAAGCTGTCAGATTTGATTGAACGAGACACAGAATATTTAGGAGTAAGTAATTTTATTTATTACAGCATCTGTCAGCCATTTGCATATTCTTAATTTCTAGCAAGCTGATACTGGTTGAAAAGGAGAAGAAAAAGAGCAATTGGATACTTGCACTTCAAGAAGAAGAGGATCACAATATCCACACAGGTGACCTATGACGTCAGCACCCGCTGATCGTTTATTAGCAAAATAGCGTGTTAAAGTGAGCTAAGTTTTTCCACGTAAGTTAGAATGTTAATTAATGGGAAGTTAATTAAATACAGCCCCGAACGCACATTGATTTGATTCTTTCTTAGATTTATTACATGTCTATGTATTTTATTGTAACACGTGATATATTTTTGCTTTGTGCACCTGGCAACTTCGATGCATAATTAGTTTGTTTATGTTCTACATGGCTTCGTGCCAGTCTTTGTGTTAAGTAAGAAATGTATAGTGAAAGAATTGAAATCATTGTGAAGGAATCTTTGTGAAGGTTTATGGAATGTGTTACTTCAGAGAATTCATACTTGCTAGGTAAGTTAACTCGAAATGGAATGGAAAGAACAGTTTCTAACTTAAACAAAGCCACGTTTAAACAACCAATCAGTCTCGAGATACCCACACTACGTCACTTGCAGATATCCCATTGAATACCTTGACAGTAACGTCATCGTAGGTAAATTATAGCATTTACCGATTCAGAAACCAATCAGGTTCGACACTCACTCGCCTGACGTAGCTTAGAGGTATCCAATCAAATCTGATTTAAATCACGTGGTTAGGCATAATCACTTCACTTCTTTTCCAGTTGCAGGAACTCGATTGTAAGTAACAACAATTAAAACTGTGCTTTTGAAATAAAATGGTTAAATAAGGAATAAAAAATTTTAAATATTGGAAAAATGTTATTTTATTTAATTGAGACGTTAAATTATATCATATATACAGAGAACCTATAAGCAATATTGATATTTGTTTAAAGAAAAATGTCAATACTGGGCAGTTCATTTATGACCAATATTAGTTTTAGTTAAAATAATATAAATCAATATCAATTTTAGCTAAAATAATATAAATAAAAGAAAACATAGTAAATATTCATGGGAACATATTTATGTTTCTTGTTAAGTAAAGAAAAATAAAGTAAAGTTCGAGTAAGCAAATTTAAAAAACAACTAGTCATTTTGATACTAAAGTACCATAATCAGTGAAGTGTACTTGCTTCAAAATCAATGAATTTATTTTTGCTTTATACATAATTTGTACGATATTACATAATAGTTAAATATAACGAAAAAAAATTACAGCACGTTCGAATTGTTAAAAATAAAACAGAAGTAAAATGCTCGGTGATTCGGTTTGGGATTAATTAAAGCCAAATCAATTAAAACAGTTTAATTTATTGCGCAAGTCAACTTCAAAAACATGGTGGTTTTCAAGCACCTTGTGAAAATAGCATTCAACATTTTATTCAAAAAAGTGTTTCAAAAATTTAAAAATACGGAATGAGAAACTAACTAAAAATTTCCAAACTGTTTTGTTTAGAATCTTCTTACTTTGGAAAATGGAAAACCTTTTGTTGATTCTACTTGGGAAATAGCAGCAGCTATTAAGACTTTGCGCTACTTTGCTGGATGCGCCGATAAAATTCATGGAAAAACTATTCCATCAGGTAAATAATTTGCATATTTTTATTTTTGTGTACTTAATTTATTGTCATTCATTATAATGAATGATTAATTATTTATTATCTTATGTGTAATTATATATTTGTTATGATCTGGGCAATTAAATATTCATTATTATTTATGTAATGAAATATTTATTATTATTTTTATAATTAAATTAATTATCATTTCATTAAAATGTTCACATTTTATAAATGTCTGCGTGTGATCTGTTTGCAGAAATACACAAATTTAACTTTATTTTTTTAATTAAAGATTCAAATATTGGAAAGGTACACTAGCTTACACTAGTTAGTACACTATTGGTTTGTACACTGGCCCCTACACTATCTAAATATGCGGATTGGGGGAGGTTCATCAACATTTATCTGAAACCACGAAAAAAATTTTGAAAGCGTTAGTAATTTGAAAAGAAGAATTTTATTTCATAAAAAGATAATTTAACTTTTTAACTCCTCTAAAGTTTGTGAACGATTTTTCACCCAACGTATAATATCTCTATTCTCAAGAAATTATTACTATTATTCAAATAATAAATCTATAAATTTTAATTGAACTAGGGTAGTTTAAATTGTTTGTCGTTCGAATAAGATCACGTCCCCGAAAATTAATCACTCCTCTTGATCGTGTGCTAAGTCTGATTTAAATAAAATGCAGGTTTGTAATATTTCAAGAAAGAGCTTCTTATTACGGATTTGATCCATTCACTGAATATTAAATTTACATGAACATCATGTTTATTAAAACATGCATTAACTTTTTTTTTTTTTAACATTCTGCATAAACTGATGTTTTTTTTTGCATTTTAATCATGAGTTTATCTATCTATACCTCTATTTTACAATATGCTGGAAGGAGCGTGATGGCTCAGGGTATAGAGCTTTCGCCTTCCAATGAGGTGAACCGGGTGCGAATCCCAACAAGAACCGGTTGATACGAATTCCACACCCGGCTTACACTGACAACAGTGCTGACGTAAAATATCCTCAGTGGTAGACGGATCATGGGTTAGAATCCCCTGGCCATTAGACTAACCATGGAAAGTTTTCGTGGTTTTCCTCTCCATGTAACGCAAATGAGGGTTAGTTCCATCCAAAATCCTCCATGAGGGTAAATTTGTCCCAACACGTGATCCAAGAGCTCCCTTGTCTTTTGGATTGGGTTCAAAATTGCAAGGCTACAGAGTTGAACATTAATAGTCGTAAATCCAAAAAATTGGGTCTGCTATTCAACAGCGGTTATAAAATAAAATGAAATATACTGGAAGAATATGTGACTAGTTTTATAAATACTTGCACACCTTATTGCATCTCGGTTGGCCTGCAGAATCACCTGACTTCTACACACGGAAAATCGTTGGGGATGTTCGAACAGCGATCAAAACGTCAAATACTGTAAGTATTTTTATAATTTAGTGGATTTACCCTACAAACCCTCAGTGACTAGTTTAAACTGTATTAAACTGCAAGATTAAACTGCATAAGACGTATTTTAAGATTTCCTAAGCTCATTTCTTAGTTGAATCTAAGTGTTCATCAATTCCAGAGGCTTAGTTATACAATATTAAATAGTGCTTCTTGTTATTTCTCCTGATGTGACTAATTTTAGGTTTGGTGTGCTTATTAATCTCTTTTTTTGTATAGTTTAAAAGTTACTACTTGTTTTAGGACCAGCATTTGTTACTTGCTTAAAATTTTTACTTGTTTTTAAAGCTTAATATTTTTTTAATAATTATTTTAGACGGAAGCACGTTTACATACACTCGATTAGAACCAATTGGGGTTTGTGGTTTAATTACACCGGTAAGTATTTGCTCATTTTCTATCCATCTAATCATTTATTATTATTTTTTTACATTTCTAATTATACGAATTAACTCTTTATCTATTTAAAAAAAAATTCTTTCTTTTTTTGTAGATTCCATATTTCTAAAAATCCATTAGAGGAAAAAAATCTCATCTGAATAATCTGTAGCAGTTAGAATTAGCAGTTAATATTCTTTTAAACATTTAAATCAAATATTTTTGTATTAAACTAGCAGGCTAATAAGAACTTTTTTTTGTTTTGAGTCAGACACAGTTTTTGCACTGTTTATTTCTTATTTATTTATTATTTGCGTCTATATTATCGTAAGAAATATAAGAACTCGGAAATGTCTTGCATGTTGGTCAATCATTTATGGAGATCTGGAGAAAAACATCATAAGAAATAGTAAATTTTTATGCTGATTTCATAACTTAAATTATCCACTGCATTTATTAATTTCGCATATCAGAGTTCAATTCTTTTCAAATAATGATTATTGTATTTTTGTTTGAACGAATCTGATGAATAAGTCAAAAGCTTTCTTAAAAAATTTAATTAAAATATTTTATTTTTTAGAAATATAAGAAAAAAGTTTTTTTTTTACGTCGGAAGTTGTTTTGAGCATTAACAAGTTTTTTTAAAAATTTAATTTAAAATTTTTGTGCGAGAAGAAAAAGCATTATGATTGTCGTTTAGTTTTAAATATATAGCAAAAAACGTATTCAGTTCGATTATATTTTGTGACTGATTTTGTAACTTGTTCTTAAATTAACCATTGCTGTAATAAATTGGCATGCTTAGCTTACAGTCGTAACTGTTGCGCATTTAATGTTCACGTTTGAGCATTAGGTCAAAAACTTTTGTAGATTAAAAATTTTTTTACTTTACTTTGCGCAGAACATAATATTTTTATGTTGTATTTATTTATTAAAAAAATTGTAATATGTATTTCAAGCAAATAAACTTTCAAATTTAAATTTTGATAAAATAATTAAGTCTTTATATATAAATATAAGTAAATGTTTGGGTGTCATTTTTTGATGTAATGATCATTAATGTCATGCATTTCTCGTGTAATGACCATTTAACAATCACTAAATTCTTAGGTTAGTAAATAGTTATAAAATTTTTTTAAATTCGTTTAATCAAAACTTAATGATTCTGGTTTCTTTTGTGGTATAACATGAACTCTTTTCCGTACTTTTTTCCGATGCTTTTTTACAGTGAGTCATTCATATCTTATAATTTGAGTCTTGTAGATTTTGTTTCTTGTTGAAAATGTTAAGAGATACACTTTTAAAATGTCCTACGATAAGCAAAAAATGCTGAAAATTACTTATCCTTCACAGTAATAATTAATAATGAATTAAAAAAATCATAAAGCTTCATTAACCGAATTTAAATTTTTTTAAAAATTATTTTATCGCATTTATGAGTTTGCTTTCTTTCAAGCTACAGATTTCTGCGTGAAAATCTGCTATTATTTGAAGCCCGGGGAAGGATATTTGTTCCCAGTATCAACGATCGACACAAAATTACATATTTATGGCCCAATACAGTACATATATTATACATATTTCTTTATAAACCTGTATTAACCTTGGCTGTATAATCTCAAACTCTTAAAAAAATATTTTTCTACAAGCTTCCTGTTTTATTTGCTTAGCAACTGTGGATAAAAGAGAAAATCTGGTGCTGATAATGAACACAAAGTAGCATTTAAGATAAGATGCATTGTAATCTCAGGGAAAATTTAGCAATGATTTTTTTTCCATTATTAAAAGTTCTAAGGTTAGAAGTAGACCCTTCATAATCTTATCTGATTATGTTCTTAAAAATGATTAAGTTCTTAAAAGAAAATTATTCATTTAGCTTTCGAAAGGGAAACATCTGTATTTTGTGAAATAAATACGAATTTTTTTTTCATTTTCAAAATAGAGATGGTGTTATTTATAAAATTTTAAAGGCCGTAATTCTATTATAAATTTTCTGTATGCTAAATAAAAAATTTTGTATAGGTAATTTCATGATTTGCAAAGTTTATTAAGTGCGATATTATTTTTTGCCCAATCAATCAATAAAATACTTTTAACGTTTTTTTATAAACTGATTATCTGATTCACTCAATACGTGGATTCTCAAATTCACTGATTCACTCATACGCTGTTTCATTGCTTTGACTTCTTTCTTTACTCGTTCTTTTCTTGTTTAATTAACTCTCTTTATTTATAAATCATTCACAATAACAGTTGAGAATTCATAGTTATATGCATTAATTAAGTGTCAACACGTTAAAAGAATCCATAGGAAAAATAAACTTATTAAATAAAACAAACGAAAAAAATCGGAAAAAATGACCTCTCTCGTGCAAAATACATTATAAATAAATAAAAAAGGTTTTTATGCGAACGTGCTTTATTGACTCGAAAATATATTATAAAAGTAAAACTCTTTGTCATCCAAAATAATAAGCAAATTTCTCACTTTATTTTATAAACACGAGCACCTACTTTGGGTGCAACCCCCCCTTCTTTTAGCTCGTTTGTTCCATGAAATTAACAGAATGTTAGCTACTTTTATTAATGCTAGTTTATTTATTTCATTATAAAATAATAATTCTGTTACAGTGGAATGTTCCATTGATTCTCTTAAGTAATAAACTAGGACCGGCTCTAGCAACAGGTAACACCGTAGTCTTAAAACCTGCAGAACAAACACCATTGACTGCCCTGTATGTTGCTAACTTGGTGAAGGAGGCCGGCTTTCCTCCTGGTGTCATTAATGTGGTACCTGGTTATGGACCAACAGCAGGTGGTACCCTTACTACCCACTTAGATGTGGATAAGGTTTCGTTTACTGGTTCAACTGAGGTAATTAGAAAAAAATTAATGTATATTTCACATTTCGTTTCAGTAAAAAAAAATTTTTTTTTTTACATTTATACAGGGTGGTCCTAAAATACATGTCAAAAATGTAAAGGTAGGTAGAGGGGACTTAAAAAAGCATATTTCTTATAGGATTGTGTGTGCGGTAATGCCGCCTAGAGCAGGTAGGTAGCGCTGATGACTGCGGCGCATAAAAGCGCTTGCTAGCTGGATTCCCGCACGGATCTCAAACAGCATGCATCATCAATGTGGAGCTTACCGACGTGCATTTCATGTGTGGGGCTGCACAAGGAAACGAATTAGCTGCTCAGAGGATGTACAGGGAGCGTCAGAAATCACCTGGACGCTGCCTACGGCCAGCATTGGATAGGACGGGGTGGTCCAGTTCCTTGGCCACAGCGTTCTCCTGATTTAACCTGCTTGGATATTTTCTTTTGGGTCATACTAAAAGCCTGGTGTACGAGAGTCCCATCAAGAAGATCTTGTTGCCCGCTTGTCTGTTGCTGCTTTACATGTGCTCGAAAGGCCTGACGTCTTTTCTAATGTACGCCGATCCATGCGCCGTCGCTTTGAATCTTGTATCGATGTTGGTGTCTGCTCTTTCGAGCACCTCTCGTAAACTGTTGATAAATTTTTATTTTCTTTTGTCTTTGCTTGTCTTTTCAGTTTCCTCTGATTCATACTGCTTTACAAGCTAGTGCTTTAATGTGCCATTACCGCACACACATTCCTATCCGAAAAATGCTTATTTATGTCCCCTCTACCTACCTTTACATTTTTGACATATATTTCAGGACCACCCTGTATAAGAATACTTTTTTAACCCTTTAAGGCTCACATTTGTTGAAAAAAACAGGCAAAAAAAAATAAGCTTTATTATTTAAGAAAACATATTTTAGAGCCTTGTTTCGGGAAAAAAATTTTAAAGAAATGAAATCAATCGAAATAAGGATAAGAAAGAAGGCTGGTTGTTTATTTTTAAATAAACAAATGTTATTGCATATAATCATATTTAAATGACAAATATCTTCAAAACTATTATTTTCCTTATCTTTCATTTGTAATTTCCAATTCTTTATTTTATTCGAGAATGAAAATAGCAGCATAAATACGACCCCTTTCGAATTATTTCGAATAGGCACAATTTTTTCTGTTTAGCACGCTCGAATTAACTTGAGCGCACCCATTAAGGGGTAAATGTACATAAGTATACTTATTTGCTTGTCTTTTATGCATACATAAAAGTATATCATGCAACTACTGTTGCACGATATATTTTTTCACAAAACTTCTTCTGATTTACAATTTCCGCACTATCAACACATTTAGACCCTGAAATAGTGTTCGCGCTTATAGCTAAGAAAAAACGGGTCAAAGGATTCGTAACAACACATTCATAGCCACAACCTATACAAAGCCCACTAAATGATAAAAGTCTATCCCATTTGTCAGTTCTAAGTTTAGACAATTGTTTACCACAAAGATGGTATAAATAATTTAATATAATGGCTTTGCCTGAGAGTAAGGTACTCAAATTGCAGCAAATTTATTTTCTTTTACGAATTATCTTCGAAAACCAACCTTAATCAAGAACTAATTTTTGAAAAAGTATTCTTGGCACGTATTCGAGGCCCTCGACCTGTATGAGACAAACCAGTAAATGATAAAAGGAAAACTTTTTTTTAATTTATTCGAGCTCAAATTCTTTTAAAATTTATTTTACGTAATTAATGGTTTAATGTTGTTGAACTTAGAGTTATTACTATTTTTAATTGCCTTTATTGATTGTCACTTTTCTAACTCTCTGTGTTATTTGATATGTATCCTTTAAAAAAAACTGTATTGGGATAAATTTATAACATCTTGCTTGGATTTGGTTCAAATTAGATTTGTGTACCTTTATCGCCTGTACAATTTGTTTACTATTATTCTGAGTGTTTCACATCGATTATGAGGTTTTGGCATTAAGCACGCCACGTACTACCACTGAAAATTTGCGATTTTATTGCTTATTTGAAATTGTAAATCTTGTATACCGTTGAACGTTTTTTTTTTGTATATATATTTTGTGATTTTAATAAAATCCACGGGTGGAGCTGCTGTAGCTACTTCACTCGACTGAGTGAGCCCGTCTGGACCTGAGCCAATTCTCTTGAGGGGCTTAACGTGACGGCGAGTTATTTTTCCGCATGCCCCTTTCAGGGATGGGTCGGGGGCTTATCTCTTACTTCCTTTCTCTACATTGTTTTATTCATTTCAATGTTAATATTGTGGGCCGGGATAGCCTGGTCGGTAGGGCGCTGGGCCCATGGTCAAGAGTTGGTGGGTTCGATCCCCGCCGACCGAAGACTCCCCTTGTAGTAAATAGTGACTGATGCACGTCAAATATGTCGAGTCGCAAAGTCCTCCATGTTCCCATAACAAATCAATACCTCTGAGTGTACTGATCCAGGAGTTTCCTTTTCTTCTGGATTGGTTCAAAATTACAAGGCTACAGAGTTGAACATTAGTAGTGGTAAACCCAAAAATTGGGTCGGATGTTCAACTACGGATATAAAATAAAATAAAAATTTTTTAATATTGTGAGCCGCGATGGCTCAGGGGATAGAGCGTTCGCCTTTCAATGAGGTGAACCGGAGTTCGATCTCGGCGATGGCTGGTCGATACAAATTCCGCATCCGGCTTGCACCGACCACAGTGTTGACGTGAAATATCCTCAGTGGTAGACGGATCATGGGTTAGAGTCCCCTTGCTGTCAGGCTAACCGTTGGAGGTTCTCATGGCCTTCCTCTCCATGTAACGCAAATGCGGGTTAATTCCATCAAAAAAAATCCTCCACGAAGGCAAATTTCTCCCAATACTTGTTCCAAGAGTTCCCCTGCATTCTGGATTGGGTTCAAAATTACAAGTCTACGGAGTTGAACACTAGTGGTCGTAAAATCAAAAATTGGGTCGGCTGTTCAACGACGGTTATAAAATAAAATAAAAACTGTTAATATTGTGACAGAAATTTTCGTTCTACAACTCATCAATCGTAAGAAATAATCATTATTTTGAACTTGTCCCTCTGTATCTTGTTTATACAATGAATTGCTGTAAGCACAAATTTTGTGTCCCGAGGGCTGGGATATTTAATTCAGGTTTTAATTTGAAACGCCAAAGTTGTAATGTTTGAAATATTTTATAAAATAGATTATTCATAAAGTAAAAATTACCTTTTAATTGAATTTATGTGGCAAATTTGGCTATAATTTTTTCTTCATTAAATTTTAGGTTGGTAAACTTATTCAACAAGCTGCTGGAAAGAGTAATTTGAAGAGAGTAACTTTGGAGATGGGAGGAAAGAGTCCATTAGTAGTCTGTTCTGACGTGGAAAATTGTAAGTGGTGTTTTTTGACGTTTAAATGATATTAGCCACAGCTAAGGAGAACATTTTATTGCTAATCTATTATGTCAGAAGACGGCAGCTCACTATATGTATTTGATATCTTGGTTTCCACATATAGGAACTTTTTATTCTTTATCAACCATTATTTCCTTAGAACACAATAGCATATCTTTTTTGTTCCATTTTGAAACATTTAATTCCTAATCTTACATTATACTATAGAGCAACAACGTCATTGGTAATATAGTTGCCAGTTTTTGGATTATTTTATTTTTAACCAACCATTTTATCACAAGAAAGCAGCATGCGATATTTATATCCTGTTTACTAATAATTGATTTTCGTATTCTAAATTAAAAGTAAAATAAAATTATACTCAATCTAGACAACGAAAACGTTAATAAAAGCTTATGTGAATCTTACAACGAGTTGATTAAGTCTTTTACAACAAATTTTAATTCTCTCTTTTAACATTCTTAACAGTTTGTATTCTTACCGAATTTCTCTGACAAGTAACTTGAAATTGTTTAGTGCACCTGTACCCAGAGACTTCAATTACTAAGGATACTCCGTAGTTTAAGAAAATATTTTTTTTCGTAGTAGAAAGGGTAATATAGTTATAATTTAATAAATTAAAATTAAAAGAATTTTCTCCACCACTAATCACAAGCAATTTAAACTTATAGATATAAGGTCATATAGTTCTAATGCATTTTTTTAAAGGAAAGGTTTGTTCGTTTAAAAAAAAATTCTGCATTAGTTCACAACCACTGAAAAAAAATAATAATGTTTATAATAATAATAATAATGTACAGTTGGAGTCTCTGTATTACTTTTTTTATCAAATTATTGCTGCTATGATTATACCGCAATTTTATACACAAGACCTAAACATTAAAAGCAATGAAGTGATTATGTCTAACAATGGGATTTAAATCAAATTTAACTGAACATCTGTAGGAGACATCACGCATGTGTCTCAAACCAGATTGGCTTTTGAAGGGACAAATGCCACGATTTACCTAAGACGTCAGTTGCAATTCAGATGGTTCGATATATAATATTTTTAAGTTTCCCTCTAGTTGAGTAATGTTACTTGGATTTTTTATTTTGTTATATTAAATAATAACTCTGCAAAATTCGAAATGTTTTTCTTCTTATCTCATCTAGTGGATCAGGCAGTCCAAATTGCTCATCATGGTCTCTTCTTTAACCAAGGACAAGCTTGCTGTGCAAGTACCCGCATTTTCGTTCAAGAGGATATTTACGATGCCTTTGTTGCCAAAAGCACAGAATTGGCAATGAAACGAATTGTTGGTGATCCATATGATGGTAAAACAGTTCAAGGTCCTCAGGTACATTAAATCGATTTTGAAATTAATTTCAATTTAAATGTAATACTTAATAGGGAAAATCATTCCATATCTGGAAAAAAAAAACTAAAATATTCAACATTAAAGTAGTACATTTAACAGTATTTATAAAAAACAGGCATCAAATGCTTTAACGATTATGAATGCTTGGGATATAATATATTTTGAAGCGAGAAGCCAATTACGTTTTAAATAGAGTTTAAACTTGACCAATGAACATTAAATGAAATCTGAATCTTTTTTACAAGGCGTAAAACGATGAGAAGAAGATTAACAATGGAAATAAGTGTTGTGCCTTATTCTAATGCTAGCTGAAAGCAATACTGCGATAAAATAAATACGCGACAAATGTAATGTATTAGCATGTACACTGATAAAAAGTGTTATATTTTTATATTTCTTAAAATATTAGGAAATAATTAAACAGTTTAAGAACGAAGCACAATTAATCGCTTTCATGCAATGTGTTTGATAAACATTTTAAGTGAAGAATGGATCGATATGTGTTACTTTATTCCTCTTCCAATAGACTTTTCACATTTTCTCTAAAATTTCATGAAAAGTATAATAATGAATTTATTTACAACAAAAAAAGCGCGAGAAAGAAATCATGAAAATTAGTATTATTATAAAATAAAATAAAAAACTAGTTATTCATAGCAAAAATAATAAACTTCAGAAAAAATACCATGAATTCGATTTGGTATTCGTATGGTACCATCATGTTATCCTTTAAGAGTTTTTTTAAAAAAATCTGTAGCATATGTTTTCTGCATTTTTTCAGATTGATGATGAGCAATTCAATAAAATCCTTGAATTGATAGAGTCTGGTAAGAAAGAAGGCGCCAAGCTTGAGTGTGGCGGAGGACGTCATGGAAACAGAGGATACTTTGTGCAGCCAACTGTTTTCTCAAACGTTCAAGATAACATGCGAATCGCAAAAGAAGAAATTTTTGGGCCTGTAATGCAAATCATGAAGTTCAAAACATTGGAAGAAGCTATCGAGCGATCCAACAATACTGAGTACGGATTAGCAGCTGGCATCTTGACAAAAGATTTGAACAAAGCTACTCTGTACTCGCAACAAGTGCGGGCTGGGACAATATGGTATGATGATGCGTAAAATTTATTAGAATTTTCTTTCAGCTTATCTGATTCATCTCTCATTCAAAACTGAACGAGAAGTAGCATTTTGAAATTTAGGAATAAAAAAAATCTAACTTTATTAAAAAAATAGTTAAATATTTTTTTTTAATGTTAGCAGTGTTTTCACTCCTTAAAAATATATTAAATATATTTAAGTGAATAGAATTTTACCTCAATAAGAATCCACAATAAAAACTTATTCCTCAAACTTAAGTTTCTACAATTGCGTAATCAAAGCAGTGCGTCCTGGCTGCACCATCCTGATGAACTGTTTTCGATGTCAAAATAGTTCTTTTCAAAAGTGGAGAAAATAATTCCTTAATGTTCATCAATGAGGATTGAAAAAAATATTTACTTTTTCATTTGATCTCTGTTTTGTACGACAATTAAATGTAACTATTTTAACTTTTATGGAAGTTATGCAATAATAAATCACTTCCAACAACGCTTTACTCGAAAAAGGAGGCTAAAGTTAATATAATACATGCGTTGTTTAAAGTTTTATAAATGTTTTTAAAAAAAAATTTCTGTTCAAACAACAAAATTTTCTCTTTTCCATTTCTATCCAGAAATGTGCATTTTTCAAAGTAACTACAATTTTCAAAGTGGTCAGAAGTAAATTCATGAAACGTCCTCAATATGCAAAATGTTCTTTTTTTAAACTGCGGCCTTGACCACGATAGGGGTCGCCAAACCTACGCATTGGGTCGCTATAAATTTTAGCAATTTGGATCGTTTTTTTTTTAAAGTTTTTATAATAGTTTTACATAGTTTTATATTATATCGTATTAACCAAATAAACGTATTAACCAAATAAAGACGAAGTCTATAGAAGATTTTTGGCTAGGAGCCTCAAAAGAATTTCAAACGATTTCTGAAACAACCATAAACTTTCATTTACTTTTTTTCTACAACCAATTTGTAAGAGGCGGCATATTCGGTTTTAATTATTATAAAAGCAAAATGTTGATCAAATCAAAAGAACATTGAAAAAGTGTTTCACCCTGCCGTGACGACAGATTTGTCAAGATTTGATAGTATAGTTAAAAAACAAACTGTCGGGTCTGTGCTATTTGAAATAAACGGATTTTCTCAATAGAGACCCTCCAAGTGACTACATTTAATGGACAGCCTATAATTAATGTTTGAATTTACCCGAGTAATTAAATTTATTATAGAACCATATTTTTGAGTTTGCTACTTATTAAATTTTTACATTGTTCGACGGCTTAAAATTAAAAAAATAATGACCTAAAACTGCAATCGAATATTAGAGTACAAGTGAAGAAAACGATAGTTTTAGTCCGTGTCGGATTTGCGCAATGTTTATAATCCCAAAATGCTCGTAAGAATTGCGGGGTCCTCAAACCAAAAGGTTTAAGAAACCCTGTTCTATACGTTACTTTAAGACTAATTTTCCAACCAAAGTAATTGTATTTTTATATCAATGACATATTTTTGTGTCAATTTTTATACTTCCTCTTCAACCCTACCTGTGTAAACTAAAATAAAGTCTTAATTCTTCGATTTCTTTACTCACGACGTAATAGCATTTCGGATTTAGATTAAATTAATAATAATCCTTAATTTTTGTTTTTGTTCTAATACTCGAATCTCGAAGCAAAATCCTTTTGTCCACCATTAAAAGTTCTTTTTTTTTCAGGGTTTTTAAACTTACATGCCGCCATATTTTAGGAACGATATACTTGTACAAAACATTTTAATTTTAAGGACTTGTACATTAAATATGCCTAAAATATATTTTTTAGTCAACTTTTATTTGTATAAAAATATTGATAAGACTTAGACCTTGCTCCATACTGACAACGCATATAATACATATTTTGTCTAATTCAATAGTTACAGTTACAAATGTTTTAATCAATAATCAAAAATTTCTAATTCATATCCAGGGTCAACTGCTTCTTGACTATAAGCGTCCAGGTTCCATTTGGAGGTTATAAAATGTCTGGTCAAGGCAGAGAATTGTAAGTAATTTTCGAAATTAAATCTGTTAAATGACACTTTATTTTATGAGCAAACACTAAACCTGTTTGAAAGCTAATTATTCCTTGTATTTGTTTATTATTATATTAGTTTTACTTCAAATAATGTATTTCTTTTTTTAGTGGAACTGATGCACTTCATTCATACTGCGAAATTAAATCCGTGAGTATTATTTTTGGTTTGCAAAACTATTCAGATTTACCTTTCCAGTTTTGACTCGGCAACAATACCCGAAACAAACAAAATAACTATGTTCTGTTGCTTGTTGCTTGTTAGCGTCTTAAATTTTGTAAATGCCATTGCTTTTTTTAACAGAGGTTTTAAGTTACGTTGAGCTGCGACAAATAGTCCTGGGTTTGTGCTACGAAATCACTGAAGACTTTCCTTTAGGAAATCAAGAATGTATTTTTTTATTTATAAAAAATTTTACTTATTTTTAGGACGCATGAAAGGACGGTGACTTATTTATTTAATCTGAGGCCCACATTTTTAATAATTACAGAAAATAAGATTTTTACTCAGAAATATGTAGTCTAGGAGAGAGTAAGCACATAAATTTAATAAAGAAAAATTTAAAAATAAATAAATAAATAAAATATTTAAATTTTATTATGTTTATTAATTATTTTCAATTGTTAAAGGCAAAATAATGTATTTTAATTTTTAGTAATTTTATATATTTTAAATTATTTTTATGGTATATTTCTTCTTATTTTGGCTACGAAGAAATATCTACAAGCTATAAACAATAATATTATAATATAGTAAGGTATTGTTTCTGATGTAAGTTTTCATGTTTAATTGAATGAGGCAGCCAAACTTTAAGACGATTAAACTAATAGTTTAGAAGTTATAAACGTTTTAGGTACAAAAAGTACCATTTTGTACTAGCACTTATTCATTGCTATTCAGGAAAATGGGGTACTTTTTTTCTCGTTAAATTGAAGAAGACCAAACACGAATAAAAAATACTAATTTTTTGAAGGAAATTTTTTTTTTTTTTGTAAAATTTCTCTATTTCTGAAATGAAGTTTCTATTATGAAGTTAAAAACTACTTGTCCCATCACACTGTGGGCCAGAAGATTTTGGCCAAAAGCCAAAACTACATTTTCAACTAAAATATGTGTAGGCAGTTTTAATATCGCCCAAATTAAGTATTCATAATCATTCCAAACATTATAATTTACTTTTTGGCCGACAAGAGTGCAATGTAGTGAAAAATATGTTAAAAAAAATTCTTTTCATTGTAACTTTTAAATTTATATTTCAGAAATAAATATAGGAATTTCGCCTTACTGTTACATTTTTATCAGAGTAATTAGTCTGAAATTATAGTACAATTTTTCAATTTGTTGCATTAGTTAATATTCTTGACAAACTGATAGTTTATATCTTATCATTTGACAAAGGTGGACTAAATATACCGAAAAACAAAAATTAATGTTTTTTTTCATGTTTTCGCGTTATTTTGTAATATTACTTCGGAAATATAATTTGTTTTTCATTTTTAATATAAAATTACGAAAATTATTATATTTTCATTCCTATATTTAATTATTTAAACGTATTATAATATTTTTTTTTATTTTTGCTCACCATATTTCAGCCTCCATTGTGTTTTTTGCTGTTAGTATTTTTAGTGTATTTCAAAATTTCAACTATGAATTTAATTTACCTGCACAAAAAAAAACCTAAATAAAAACCCCCAAATTTTTAAACAAATTTTATCGAAATACTAATCTCGGCCACGAAAACTTGGATACTGGCCCACTGTGCATCAACTCGAATTTTGAATCATTCAATTTAGTGAAAAATTTTGTAAAATGTACCTCACATGTTCAGATAGGTAGCAAAGAAAAAAGTGTACATAAGTCATGTCAAAAATAGTACTTTTTATACATGAAAACGCTGTCAGCGGTCAGACGCGGCCAAACGCGGAGAGCGGTCAGAAGTTTATGACACTTAATGTTAATTTCACTTTTCGTGTATTTTGCCATTTCTTGCGATGCTTTCAAGCGAGTGTTCAAATCGAATCCATAAATTATGAAATCCATTAATTATTTTAATAATAGTTATTTTAATTGAGTTTTTATAATTTTGCGTTTTTAAAATGATATACATCTGGACGTAATATTCCATAATGACCGCCGTAAATATATAATTATTAAAAATAAAGTTAGAAAAGTTTGCACACTAGTGGGTGAAAGCTAATATTTAAGTGGAGAAAAAAACCGCTATCGAAATCTTTTGATTCTTAAGTGTGGTCTGCGTGGACTGGAAATATTACTATCGGTTTTATTGACGTAGGAAAGACAAAGGAAATGCTGACCGGCTTGTGTAGGGGGCAGGGAACTGTCCCTGCACCAGAAAGGTCCTGGGTTCGAATCCCGGGCAAGGCACGGATGTTTGTTTCTTTCTCCTTTGAGTGTGAATGTGACCCGCCCTATAAGCCGGTTGTGTGAATGGCGTGGCAGATGTCGAATTCCTGGCCATAGATGGCCCCACAGAAAAACAGGAACAATCGCACCCCCGCTGCCTAAACAGGCATACGACAAACAAAAAAAAATGTTAGAAACCCCTCCAAGTTTCACCAAGCTATCAAACTAGTTATAATGTTTTTCATCTCAACTCCATTACTATATTAGATTCGTCAAAGTTTTTGTTTCTTTTTTGCTTAAATGTCAGTTTCAACCCCTAAATTGAAGCTTTTATTTTACTTTATTTTTTCCAAGCATTTTAAAAGCGATTATAATCTAATCATTTTGAAAAAATAGATTGAAAATTATTAAAATAATGTAAGTGATTTTATAAAATGATTTTATTTATTTTATTATTATAATTTTATTTCTTATTTTTCAGGTAACCACGATGATTCCACAAAAAAATTCTTAAATTTGTTCTTACTTGACTGTCATACATGACTTGTAAATGTACTTTTGTATTTTTAAAAACGGTAAAATAATCTACCTCTAAATTGAAGATCTCTATATCAATAGATAATCTAATAATATGCAGTTTGTAAATTCAATGAAAGAAGTAAAAATTGATTTTTTACAAATGTTGTTACTGTTCTAATTTTAATTTATGTGTCACTTCGATAATGTTTTTCTTTATAATAATGTTAAAAATAAAGAGAAAACATGGAAAATAATGTAATAAGGATTAATGAAAAGAGAAGAATAAAAATTATTAAAATAAAGTATTTTTAAAAATATTAAATTTTTTTTTTAAATATCTTTTTTTAATTTTAAATTTAATTTTTTTAAATAATTTTTTATTAAAAAATATTATATTTTAATAATTTTTTTTCTTAAACCTTAACCAATTATTTTCCATGTTTTCTCGATATTTTTAACTTATTTTTTGAGTTCTATGTACTTGCAGCTTATGCGCAGCAAATGAAACTTATTATTTTTCTTAATTTTCTTCGTTTTTCTCTTTATTGTGAGACAGAGTAATTCATTTTTAATAAACAACCATTAATCAAATAAGTAGTACATTTTCTTTCATTAAATTACCACATTTAAATAAATAAAAAGTAATGAATGCTTTCCATTTTCTTCCTGTGCGCGTTCACATATGCTGTCTTCACAAATTCTATAATACTGCATGAATATTTGTAGACTTACTCAAAATGTTGAGGCATTATAATCCAATAAATAATCGGATTGCTTTTTTAAAACACTTTATTTTCGTATAAACATTATTAGTGATTATGAATTGATTAGCTAGTGCTCTTAACAAGATGGAGGATAGATGAGTAGTAAGAAAGGAAACTTATGATTATTTAAGAATAAATTCATTTTTTAAAAGGCAATCTGAACATTATCAATGCCTCAACTTTTTGAGTAAGTCCATAGATATTCAAGCAGTATTGAAGAAACAGTAAGTGAAAGAACAAAGGAGTTAAACACGCACAAGTTAAAGGTAAGCATTCATTATTTTTGTTACCTTTTGTCCACTCAAGTGTGTGTTTACTAACTATAAAGAATTATACAGGGAGCAACGTTGGCCCACCTAATAGGGTGCCCCTGAAAGAGTGGCCAACAAATCTGCCCTTCAGATAACTGTATGACCTAGGTCATTCTAGAGGTATGCATTGGGAAAAAAAAGAGAATTATACAACTCACTGATATCAAGCATAAAGGTATTATAAGGGCAAAATCATCTGTGATATTCAGCTGATAATCACCGGGGATTCAAAATAGCTGCAATCTATACAGGAGTGCTCCGTTTTTCAATTTCATCTGCGTATCGTGCGGTAGGGAGGAGGAACTTTTTTGTTTTTAGAAAACAGTCAATCTATTTTAAGTTTTATACATAGTTTATAAATATACACACATGTAAAAAATAAATATGCATCTATGCATAGCACTTAAAATAAACGACCAATTTTCTAAAAACAAAAGTGTGCCTTCCCCCTTACGAAACGCCTATACTATATATATAAATGAATTTAAAAGAGTATTCCCTATTAGTGACCACAAATAATTCAAGGAAAGAAAAGTAAAACTTTTTAATCAGTATTGAGGATGATGATATTAAAAACATTAAAATGTGTTATTTGCTGAAGGAATTAACGGGTGGAGTTAGGAGTGATAATTATAAGCCCCTTAAGTTTCTCCCAGTAGTCCAACTGGTTGGTAATCCAACTATGTATAACCACACCTTTCACAATAGTGATTTGTCAGATTTGAACATAGATTTATTTTTATTTTTCCTCGCTTAAAAATTGATTTGTGAATCCTATATCGTTTATGACTAGTACTCTAAAACTATGCAGGTTGTTCCCTAATGGTAGCCATTAGTAAGTATTTTCAGAATCGTTGTCAATGATCTGAAATTAATATTTTAACGAGGGAAAAAAATCAAAACTCACTCGAAATCTAGCATTTCACTATCGCGTAAAGTGGGCTTCACAGCATCAAAATCTGTTTGATCGCCAGTTGAAACTAGCAGGTTTCTAAATGATTGTCCTTTACCTCATCTCTGTTTTTCCAAAAAGCAAACAGGGTTTGGTTTGGTGTTTTGTACACATACCTTCCGCGATAGTGTTTCAGATTTTGTTAAGAATTTTATTTTTTTTAAGCTTAAGTACGATATCTTATGGTTCCCTATGCGCATGCTTTTTGTTTCAATGCTTGTCAAAGATTCCAAATATACGTATTGAAGGCTAACATTACGTGTATATTATAGATGATAAACGGAATAACGACCTATTCCAACTACAATATGACTCGAAACAGTTGTAACCTCGTGACAAACTTAACTCTTGACATGCGTAAGAAGAGAAAATAGTCAACTTTTAAAATACTTTTTAATTATTTTCACATTTTTTTCTTTATAAACTGAGAGGCTCTTTTATTTGTCCAGTGTACTACTTCTTCTGAGAAATCATCATATTCACCTAAAAAGTAAACATTCAAATTTTAGAGTTATGATAAAACTATTTGTTATAATTTTATTTTTATTATTTCGAACTATGTACATTACAAATAGCATTATATAGCAGCAATAACATACACATATTTACAAATAGCATGATATCAATTTTAAAACTTGAATACTTAATGGTCGAAAACTATTTTCTTATTTTTATCAGAATATTCTTATTGGCCAGAAAATCATTTGGTATGGTTCGTTAATAAAAAAGAAATCGAGATTTCTTTGATGGTTATCAGTATTAAAATTAATATTAATTATAAAAGTATTTTTTTATTGGTAAAATGCTTCTTTATATGTAAAATATTTCTTTCCCTACTCAGCGGTATTTATCTGTAATATATATTTATCATCTTTCTCAGCATTATTCCCCACTATTAATACTACTTTAGATTTGTATTATTTTCTAAATAAAAGGCTTTGAGCCGCAATGGTTCATGGGATAGAGCATTCACCTTCCCATGAGGTAAACCGGATTCGAATCCCAGCGATGGCTAGTCGATGCGAATTCCCCATCCGGCTCGCGCCGACCACAGTGCTGATGTGAAATATCCTCAGTGGTAAATGGATCATGGGTGAGAGTTCTCTTGCCGTCGTGCTAACCACGGGAGGTTCTCTTTGCCATCCTCTCCATGTAAGGCAAATGTGGATTAGTTCCATCAAAAAGTTCTCCACGAAGGCAAATTTCTCCCAATACTTACTTGATTCAGGAGTTCCCTTGTCTTCTGGATTGGGTTCAAAATTACAAGGCTACGGAGTTAAACATCAGTAGTCGTAAACTCAAAATTGGATTGGCTGTTCAACGACGGTTATAGTATAAAATAAAAGGCTTAAAACTGCAAATTGAGTTCCTTTATTATTAAGTCATAGTATGATATAATTGGTAAAACCCACTTAGAGGGTGCTGTAAACATAAGGAATAAGCTGAGATTTTGAATCGTAGGTTCGGGTTTATTTTATGAGGTACGAGTCCGAAGAATTTTAATCCCAGCACACTCGTGGCCTGAGACAACAAGAGAGCATGGAGTGCCCACCCCCCTGGCATTAGCATAATTTAGCTTTTCCATAAAATTGGACAAAAAATGAAATTAATAAGAATATATGGACATAGATATGCTAGTTTTACCAGTGTTTAATTTGTTCATGGAAATATTATTTAAATTTAAATATTTAAATTCTGGAAATGTTCATAGTTCTGAAAAAAAGGGGATTAACCTGTATTACCTGGTATTGCAGTTATCAATAATTAGTATCACAGCAACATTTCATTTTTATTCCTTTTGAAAGAGGCTTACAAAAACAACAAGAACGCATGAAAAGCATAAAACAACAAACGGGAACCATGAAACAATAAGATGTGAAAAACATAAACACAAGAAAAATTATGAAACAACACGCACAAAACACTGCATAAAGTAAGTTATGTGTTGCTTTCTACATGCACAAGCAAAATAACTTTTTCTTTTATTGTCATTGAGAATTGCATGTGATAGATAGTGAAGTTGTTCTTTTTCAATCAGCATATCATCAAATCAATGAATTAAAATCAATCTAAGTAATTTATTGAAAGAGAAGTACTCACTGTTTTCGTCTCTATGAATGAATTCATAGCATCTACTCCACTGAAAAAGAATTCCGAATTTTATTCAACTAAAATATTAGTTTAAGTAAACTGTTTAGAACATATTTAGTTCATACAAATTGCACTTACAAGTCTTTTCCACCAGCAGTATGAAATCCACCGAGAGGTGCCTGAACTGATAAATTTAAAAAGCAATTTATCCTGAAACAAATAATGTAAATTTATATACATTTCCTGAAACTATTGTCATTGTATAACTCAATATACATACTTATCTGATCAAAAGAGAAAAAAAAATAGTGCGACTTGAATTTCTAAAACAAAAATGAACCCTAATGTATAATGGTTGTTTTTTCAACTCTGTGCCGTCGTATAAAATAAGACTTTTTAGCGAACAATATGCTAAGTTTATAACTATCGTGAGTTTTTACAGTTATTCATGTGTGTTGGTTAAGTATGAAGAAAAGTCACAGTTTTGTAAAAATTAAAAATGTTTGTGAATCTAGTTTAACTGTTTGTGGTCTAGTTTAACTGTTTGTGATCTAGTTTAACTGATCTAGTTCCAACAGCGTGGCGCATGATCAACGCCACCGATTCCCAAAAGGTATTCGTCAGAGCCCCAGGGTTCTGTTCCGTGAAAGGGTCCAAGTTGCTCCGAAAATTAAAGTTTTCTTTAACCAGTTGCAATTTATGAAACCCGTTATCTTCTATCTACCTAATCAATAGTCCATTATTTATTTTATTTTATTAGGTTATTTTTAAAAAAATTATTTTTATAAAATGCTAGTGATTAAAAAAAAGCATAATTTAAAAACAAATTTTTTTTTCCTATTAATATAATGGGTAAATATTCGAAAGGATATTATTGGAAAACATTTATTAAAAACTTACGTTAGTATTTGATTTCCCAGTGAACCTTTTCAACTCTAAATTAAATAACTAAACTCAAGAATAAAGAAATGTTTTTTCCTCACAAACATTCTCAACGTTTAGAATAGTTTCTTCACGTTTTCATTCCAAAACAAACTCACAACTAGACGAGATGCCATGTGAATGCAACTGTCTGTCAAAGACATAATATAAAGACTAGTTTTGACAAAGCGAAAAAAATTCTCGCAGAATAATATTTGAAAAGAATTCATAGGCATAGCAGGTTTCCAATTTTTAAGGGAGACGAAATTAAAAAACACACTTAGTCACACTAGTTTTCTAAATTCCATACATAACAAAAAATATTTCTTAACTTTCCTAATCATCTGCAAAAAGATTAATCTTTCTCTTGATTTTACCTATCTCGAGTTTAAATCGATGATTATTCATTAAAATTTTCTTTATTTGTTTGAAATAATGAAATAATATAATTTGTAGTATATTTTTTTTCTTTCTTTAGTAAGTTTACAATTGTTAATGAACTTTAGTAGTAAAGTCGGAGGTTCCGTTGAAAGAAAGTAGATCCTTTAGAGTTCCGCAGACTTAAAAAAATGGGAACTGTTAGCTTTGTTAATTTTTTTTTCAAGTTTAAATGCTGATAATTTTAACAATGCGTTATCAAGATTGCTTTTTTTTCACATTGAAACAGATTAATAAAATTTTCTTCATCTGATAGACTGAACTAATATTTATAATGCATAAACAAAAAGAATGAAAGTTATAAAGGAATTGTTCTCGCATTGAAAACTATGGTATGTAACTAAGATTTTTTTGTAAAACTCTTGTCGAAAAATATTCAATTATGAATCGCAATTTAATATTTAAATGTGTAAAACAAAAGCGTTTATCAAACTTCAACCATTTACTATCAAAGCAAAATCAGAGCAAGGAAAGGATTACAACTATTAATACTCAGTGTGCTTGACAGGTGGAACTGTATCTCTCAATCGGAACACTCTTTTGGCTTCAATCTTAAATGAGCTAGTTTTGACAATTTTATTCCCTCTTATGCTGTAATCGACTTTGATATTGATCTAGGGTGCTACAACTTCGACATAATCAAAATGAGATAGGTAAATATATTCTGAAAACAATTGAAAAATGCATTCACTCAGCTCTCATGTGTGCTCTACAAGAGCTCAGAATTTTGCCACTATTTTAACAAAATTTTTTTGAATATCGTAGCAACCCAACCCTGTTGAACAATCCTAACTTGAAACCTTCTTTATTTGTTTGTTTGTCCCCTGATTTAAAAAATCAACTTACTGCTGATCGCACTTCTGAAAATGAGGATGAATGTGTATATTTTTATAACTTAAATTTTAACAAAGATAAAAGATCTCAAACAAAATTTTCAAGAGTTCCCATTCCTTTAAAATCCAGCATTTTGTGTACAAACTCTTTTTTTCTCCACTCCTTTTGTCCAAAACTTAAACTGTATTAAATATCTGGGCACCTGAGGCCACTTGCGGCCCTTTTCCCATTTATCTTGAACTTGATCTGTGTGGTGCTTAGTTGAGGCTGTGCAATGCAAATGAACTGAAGGTGTATTCATGTGGATCATTGAGGTTCTGACTGTGTAATTATATGCAGTAGAGTGATAAGATTATATTGTAAAAGTATGAACTTAAGATGTAAGAAGATATGATGAAAATGAGGTTATGTATATGCTATTGATGGCGGGAATATGATGCATCACTGCAACAGTATTTAGCTATTGGTTTAATTTTCTTGTCTTCAGTTAAATTTTCAAATGGAAATATTTCATTGAAATTTACTGTAGAGCAAGAGGTGGCTTTTTCGTAGAATTTGTTAATTCATGTTTGTCCAAGAGCTAATGCTTTCTTTTCTGGGCTTGTGAACCGATGTCAAAACTTGTTAGCGAAAAAACTGCTAAACGAAGAATCAAAGCGTAGCCTAAATCTTTTTTACAACTCGAAATTAAGTCTCGAACACTGTGTAGAGTTCCCTCCGTAACCCTGGATATATCTTCGTACTGTCTTTCTCTGAATTATACTATCTGTCTCTCTCTACTTGACAAAGGCTTATAACAGGGCTAAAGAGAATACAAGGGCTAGTTCACTCCGCTCTNACTATCTCTGTCTCTCTACTTGACAAAGGCTTATAAGCCGTACTTCTCAAGCCTGCATGTATGTGTATCAATAAATAATAATTAAATTCTAGAGTTGACGTGCAATTGATCAAAATTTCTTGAATAATTTAATATGTTGTTTATCTCATTACTCGAAATGTAACTCAAAGTTAAAGGCTTCAAAAAAGCCACTTGATATAAAGCAACATTTGAGTGTTTTGACACTGGTACAAAAATGACTGCAAAAAAATTTATACAAATGCATTTTAAATCATATTTACCAAATCAATCCTGCTCGCACTTGTTGTGAATAAATAGTCGCTTTATTTAAATCCGTTGTTAAGATGCCGGCTGCCAACCCATGACCATAACTGTTAGATCTTTCAATCACTTCATCAAAAGTACTGAACTTGGAAATCTGCATTACAGGTCCCAATATTTCAACTTCCGTTAAGCGCATATGATCTTGAACATTTGAAAAGATAGTAGGCTGCATGAAGTATCCCTTTGTGTTATATCGACTACCTCCGCATTCAAGAACTGCTCCTTCTCTCTTTCCGCTCTCAATGAACTCTAAAAGTTTGTTCAGTTGTAGTTCATCAATCTAGAATAAATAAATTAAGGAATTATAAAAAAAAATGATTTTATTTACGTATTATTATTTAATTAAACTTTAAGTTGAAATAGTTGTAGTTGTAGTTCATTTACGTCGCACTAGAGCTGCACAATGGGCTATTGGCGACGGTCTGGGAAACATCCTTGAGGATGATCCTAAGACATGCCATCACAATTTTGACCCTCTGCAGAGGGGATGGGACCCCCGCTTTGGTAGCCGACGACCTGCAAGCGAAGTCGAGCACTTTATGATAGAACAGTTTAACGAGGACCAATACCGCATACCCTCGATCGCTACGCAAACTAATCCAAGTTGTCACCCACCCGCCCACTGACCGCGGCCAGTGATGCTTGACTTCGGTGATCTGCTGGGAACCGTGTCTTAACGATCAGTCCACTGCGTCCTATGCGTTTATTGAAACTAAAATACAGATGAAAAAGTATTTCATAAAAAATTTTATGCTGATTACAAATACACATTTAAACAATAGTATCATCTCAATTTCAATCGCCAGTTAAGTTATGAACAACGACTAAAATGAGTTTTGTGGCAGTAAAAGCATCCAAATTATAATTATGCCTACTCGTCTAGATCAATTTAATTTGGAGTTTTTTATTTTATTTATTTACTTTTTCCATCAACATTTTTTTTGAAATTTAATATTCGCGTACATAAAGAAATTTATTTTTAATTGCAACATTTTAGTTATTTATTTATTAAACGTTAAAGATTCTTTCAGCTTCATACTGCATTGTTCAAATATTTTGCTCCTTCTTAAAATTCTTAATTAATTTTGCTAAATTTATTAAATTGCTATTTCGGAATTAATGAATCTGCGAATTTGTTGATTTTCATGTAGCAAACAAATTTTCTGAGGGTAGGGATTTAACTTCATACAAAAAAATGAATATCAACCAGAGCCTTATGAGATTCTTTGGGCTTATATTTATTCTTCTTCTATTTTGACCCTAAAAAATTAAGCTTTAAATTAATAAAATGAGCCTTACTTGTGGTCCTTGCTCTGTTTTTTCATCAAAGGGATCACCCACTACTCGTTTTAAAGCCAATTCTTTACTTTTTGCAACAAAACTGTCATAAATTCCATCTTGGACAAAAATACGATTGCCTGCACAATGACCTTCTCCCTGATTGTAGAAGCTTGCACGATGAGCAATTTGAACTGCTTCATCCACTAAATAAATAAAGGTACATCAGTGGAATTTATTTTCTAATCTACGCACAAGGCGTGTAGATTGGATAACAGGACTTGAATTAATACAACATGGGTCCAACAGATCCGAGTAAATTTTTGATAATTTAAAAAAGGGAATGCTCAATATAACTTTCCTTTTGTTATTTTTAAAACTAGTGGGCTGCGCTCCCTGCTCGCCAACCCCCGAAAATTGCTACCCAATCTTATATGGTTTGCTTCGCAAACCAAGCTCGCTTCGCTCGCTACTAACTTAGGTACATTGCAAATGCACAAAATTCTAAGAATTCAAAACAATCATTCAAATCCATATAAAAACTTTAAAAAAAAAAAAATTGCATCTTTTTAGTAAATACTAAGTCATTAAAATAAATTTGAATTCGAATAAATGACATATAATTCGTTGAACCTATTAGAAATATGCTATAGTATAATTCGTGATATAAATCAAAAATCGTCAAATAAATTCGTACATAAATTCGTGAAAAAAAGCGCTTTCGACAAAATACTAAAATAGAGATCTATCGACAAAGACTACTCACTTCTGTCTAGCTTAATACAAGTAGTATGAGATTGACGCAGCTGATGATCGCTGGTTATTTCAGTTTCCGTTTTCAAAAGCGCTATATGTTGAGCCACCTCATCTAGATTTGGCATGTGACATTTTAGCGGCAATCATTGGTCGATTCGCCGTGTTAAGAGAAATAGTAACGTAAACAAAACAAAGCAAACGTTGCCACTGGCGGAAAAGAAATGCAGCCAAAATTTGGGAGCCACGTAAAAGAATTATATATATTAGATATTTCGAAGATTTCCTTTCAATATCATGAAACTTGCTAGTTTGTTCTAGTGGTATTGCGTGGCAACAGTCAATCTCAGCTTTTGTATACCTAGTGTGTGAAGATTAAGTAGTATTTTTGAATTCCTTGATATTGAAAATTTTGTCGATGCTCAAAGGGGAGCAAGTGTTCGAACTGCATTGTGAATTAGAGCACAGCAGATGTACTGTAAATTAGAAAATTTTGTTTATTACATTTTTGATAGACTGATGTGATTCTCTAGAAAAATAAATGTTGTATAATAAGCAAATAGCATATTGTGAGCATAATCTTAGCGATTTTCCCCTCGCATACATGTACTATTTCTCTGTAAGTGAACATCAGAGTAAAATCGTCACTAAGTTTCGCTTTTGCAAGAAAAATTGAAAAGCACAACGAAAGTTTATGAAAGCACTATCTTAGAATCTATAGTAAGAACTCGACTGAATGCAAAATTTTTCAATTTATACAATTCGAGTTTTAATCAGTTCTCTGCTATAACTCATAAGTTGAAAACGACCGAGCAATAGTCTAGGGAGAATATGCCCGATTTTATAAAAAAATTTAAAAGTAGTTTCCCTGTAGTCCAAATCAAAATCCCCTCGGATATATTTTGATCAGTATTGGTGTGATAAAAAATGTCGTCTTAAATATTCTTTAAAGAGAACAGCGATGGAAATTCCCTTTGAAATAGTGTATATAAATGAGTGACTTAAAATTTGTTTAAAGTCAAAATGAAAATCTAAAGATTAAATGTAGCTTTCAAAAGATTTAGTTTTAAATTTTTGTAAAACTTTCTTATAATTGAATCAAAATGTTTATCGTTAAATTATGATGCTATTTTGGTTTATTTAACATATCTATATATATAAAAGNGCATTTCAAATCATAATCGCAAATGTCATTTACACACTTAAATACAAAATTCAAATTCAAATTGAAAGCGTTGCAACGCACGCAGGGTACAGCTAGTATATATATAAATCTTTATAGACATTGGTAATATTTTCCGCTTCTTTCTTATAATTTGAATCGATGAGTTTCGTAAGAAGCTCATGATGTCATACTCGTTGGAGGGAGAGAATGTCCGTGCAATTGTGAGAGTTTGTGACTAGGTGATATAATTTAAGTTAAGACATTTTAAAACACGAGATTAAATACTTTTGCCTAGATTTATTTATGCATTTTATTCATCTAACGCCTATTTTAAAGAAATAAAAATACTGTTTTCGCCTAATGGATTTGTTGCGTATTGTAATTAATTTCATTTTTTTATTGAAAAACACATCGATGTTGATTAAGTTTTAAAGTTTAAGTTTTATTTTTTATTTATTAAGTAACCACTTTTAAGAAAAAATAACTCAGGACATTTCCAAAGAATTCGAAAACCTTACTGTCCTATGAGAGTGTTGTCGAGATGCCTTGACAATTTCAATGTTTTGATTGCAAGAAGAATTGTAGAAGTACATAATACCAAGTAAATTATATTTTATAATGGTGAAAATAATTTTATGAATGTTCCTATAAAGTACNGATAATCACAGATAGTACAATATTTAGAAATTGAAAGCAGTGACTCTCTTATTAATTCCATGTGAGCTAATGTTTCCTATTTTTCAGATATTTATTTGTTCAAAATATGAAACCAATTTATGCCTAGCGCCAATAAATTATTCAGGGTGTCCATGTTCTTGAAAATTTTTCCGAAATGTTAACAAAAGTATAACAATAAAAATTTTATTTTAAAGGAATTATATGTATTCAAAAAATGTCTTTCCCATGCTTTTGTATTTCTCAAAAGAAACCTATAGTGTTTTCTTTTTGTAAAGAGGCAAAAAGTGCTGGAACATGTGTTTTATAATTAGCAGGAAGAAGAATTTTATAAAATATTTTATAATGTTAATATAGATATGTGAATATAGATATTTGGAAATTGTACCAAGGTACAAGTGTCTCCACTTACTCCTTCAGTTGAAAGCCTCCACACAGTTTCCGAAAGGAAGTCCACTAAATATTGCAATAGCTTGATCAGTAGGCATTTTATTGGATATCGAGTCGAAATAAGAAAATAGATGCACATGTATTTATCTCAGCCCTTTCCAACACAACAAATTTTGTCCAAGAATTTTAGACATGCTGCCTCTTGGAAATTGGCGAGTAACGAATAAAAAGATAAAATTGAACTATATGTAGTTTAAAAAATAGGGGTTGCTAGCTTTATTGCTTCTTTCAATTCACAAACATTTATAGATTTGTGTGCTCAATTAAGGTTTATAAATCTTTGCCAAGTAAAAGCACATATAGAACAATTTAAAGAAGTACATATTCGAGGGTTACGCCGGGTTTCAAACCCGCTACCTCTGCTTAGGGGTTGCTTGTCTTATAATTCAAACTGTGCGCTTGGGCATCGAAGCTGCCCTTATCACATCCATCATGAAATATTTATTCTTTGAAGGCGTTCTTTACGGTTAGAAGTCGTCGTGGTTGCTATTAAGAGATTCAAGCACTTTGCTTGAATAAATAAAAATAAATGTAAATAAAACTTTGCTCTAAATCAGCGGTTCTCAACCTTTCAGTATTCGCGGCCCAGTTTTCAATCATAATTTTCATCGCGCCCCCCACTTACAGTAAAATGTATACAACAATAATTTATATTGAGTATTTTGAATTCTGTCTTTAAAATATTTTTAACTAACTGCCAAAACAAAAGTAAAGTAAAAGCCAGCAGCAATTGAGATTGCAGAAACTATGTTTGGAGTTAATTTTTCAAAAGAATTACCGTCCTCTTTCAAACGATACTGTTGCTCCTCGAATTGGTGATACAGCTGAAAATGTAGTGTCAGCTTTTCTCGATGTTGCGTGACAAAATGTTTTCAATACAGTTTGATGAAGCATAATAAAGATGCTCCTTTAATTGTCTATGTTTGATTTTGTGATAATATGTCAGTAGTAAAACTACTTTTCTGCAAATCAATAAAACTCAAAACAACAGCGCTAGCATTATTTGCTATTTCAAATGAAGTTATGAATAAGGCAAACATAGAATGCAAAAATTGCATCGGAATATGCACCGATGGTGCTCGTTCAATATCCGGAAGGTTCGAAAGTATACAAGCACTTGTAAACTTGTAAAAAATCGCCTCCATGCGTCTGGACACATTGCATGATCCACAGAGAAGTTTTGGCTTCAAAAGAAATGCGTCCCTGGTTTTAATATTGTGTTAACTATGGTTGTAACGATTGCAAATTATATAAAAAAGAGAACCCTGAGATAAAGAATCTTTTCCGCTCTTTGGACCCAAGGAAGTCACTAAAAATTATTAATTTCTTTTTTAAATTTAGTATGCTTTGATTAAGTAAGGTGGGTAAGCCAAAGGTGGTCAGTGCTCCTAACGTAGCCCACCCCCCAAAGTAAAATTAAATTTATTTTGAATCATAAGACGTCCCTGCTGCATTGTAAATCTTGTATCTGAGGTGCACGAGGCTGAATTGGAAGATATTTCCTTGAATGGCCTCCACTCTATGAAGTGATTTAATTTTTTGCAGTTGTTCTAATTTCCGGGTGAGAAGATATTGTAATTTATATGTGTTCAAATTCTTAGAA